CGTACGTCCTTCCTCTTGTGTGGAGTATCTATCCACCATGGGACTACGGTACGGGTGGATGATGACTACGGTACGGGTGGATGATTAGTTATCTCACATGGAATAGCTAATCTACACAATGGAAGGATTGATAGATTGAGTGCGGAAATGGAGGTGCTAGTTCCCCTTGGCTCAGTAGGGGTTGTTAGTCAATAGTCAATGAGGACATTGACATCTTTGAAAAATAGGATTGTTAAGCACTAGGTCAGGATAATAGGATAAAGAAAGGTCTCTGCAATTAAGTGATCACCCTTTTAGCCAGTTGGCTTAGGGTGTAAGGGATAGGATCCTACTATTGGTATTGGAGCCTAGTGTGGAAATGGAAGTGTTGGTTCCCCTTGGCTCAATAGGGGTTGTTAGTCAATAGTCAATGAGGACATTGACATCTTTGAAAGATAGGATTGTTAAGCACTAGGTCAGGATAATAGGATAAAGAAAGGTCTCTGCAATCAAGTGATCACCCTTTTAGCCAGTTGGCTTAGGGTGTAAGGGATAGGATCCTACTATTGGTATTGGAGCCTAGTTTGATTCTCATGGCTGACGAGTGGGGCAAGAATATTCTGAAGGAATATTCAACATGGTGAATCTAGGGGGAGAACCAAGGTTTGGTAGACCCTAAAAGAAGGACCATGGTGACCGGAGGGTGGCCTAACTATGATTGCAGACGATCATTCCCTGACGAGGGGAGGGTGTAAGCTCCTGGGTTTGGACTTCCCGGGAGGTCACCCAGCTCAGTACTATTCAAACCCAAGGACGCTTAACCCCAAATATCCCAAGACCCTTAACCAATTGGAAAAGGGGGTGCACTCTTGTTCATGAGCCCTTTCCCTCTATATTTGAACCCCATGGATCGTCTTTCGAATCGTTCCCTTTGGTTGCTTACAATCCACCATGCTTCCCTGCAAGTTCACGCCCTCGTGAACAGAAGTTGAGAGCCGCAGCTCTCCCGAGAGCCCTGCTCTCTTGACACCCTACCCCTCGGGTCGAGCCCAGCAGGAGCAAACTGGACCAGCCAGATGTCAATCAACACGTGGTGCGATTCCCGTGCGATTCCCCTAAGCCAACCAACAGAGTCAGACCCGAGACCGCTCCGATACCAAATGTAAGCTCCTGGGTTTGGACTTCCCGGGAGGTCACCCAGCCCAGTACTATTCAAACCCAAGGACGCTTAACCCCAAATATCCCAAGACCCTTAACCAATTAGAAAAGGGGGTGCACTCTTGTTCATGGGCCCTTTCCCTCTATATTTGAACCCCATGGATCGTCTTTCAAGTCGTTCCCTTTGGTTGCTTACAGAGGGTGGCCTAACTATGATTGCAGATGATCACTCCCTGATGAGGGGAGGATTGTTAGGCACTAGATCAGGATAATAGGATAAAGAAAGGGCCTTGCAATCAAGTGATCACCACTTTAGCCAGTTGGCTTAGGGTGTAAGGGATAGGATCCTAACACTCAGTAGGGGTTGTTAGTCAATAGTCAATGAAGACATTGACATTTCTGAAGAGGGGGTGAGTGTAGCGCATGAGATCATGGGATGAGATTTGGATATATTGTCACCGTGGATCCTTGGAACCTTGGGGGATAAATGGGGATAAAATAGCCACTAAAGGCTCTTTTATCAAGCAATTGCTTTTTTTCCAGTTGGCTTAAGGGGAGAGAGATAGGATGCGCTACAATGTTTAACCTCAAATATCCCAAGACCTTTAACCGATTGGAAAAAAAGGTATACCAAATGTAAGCTCTTGAATTTGGACTTCTCGAAAGGTCATTCAACCTAGTACTATTCAAACCCAAGAATGTTTAACCCCAAATATCCCAAAACCTTTAACCAATTAGGAAAAAAAAGTACACTTTTATTTATGGGCTCTTTCCCTTTATATTTGAATTTCTATGGATTATCTCTCGAGTTGTTCCCTTTGATTGCTTACATTATTGATAACTCTTCTAAGTGTAGTGTATCTTAACTACATTTTGACTTTTCATTTTGTATATGGATATTTTTTATATTGATGTATTGATTGTTTGGCTAGTGTTATCTTATTGCATATATGAGTCATACATTACAATTAGTAGAGATAAATTACTTTATGATAAAGAATGAATATTTAGTAATAGTTTGTTCATATGGTTGACTTAGTGGACTTTGAAGTTTTAGATATATAATTTTGACGTTGTTCATCACTGAGGGAGTTGTATGGTTTGATTGTTTGGCTAGTGTTATTTTATTGCATATATGAGTCATATATTACAATTAGTAGAGATAAATTACTTTATGATAAAGAATGAATATTTAGTAACAGTTTGCTTCATGTATATTTACATGGTTCTTAGACATTACTAAAAGGTGATCATGCTATGGTACTTCATATGGTTGACTTAGTGGACTTTGAAGTTTTAGATATATAATTTTGAGGTTGTTCATCACTGAGGGAGTTGTATGGTTGATGCTAATGCCCTTTTTCAAGTTTTGCTTATCTTTTTGCTCTCTTTCCATGTTCCTTACAAGCCTGTTATTCTAGCATTAGTGTCATTTTCTAAACAAAAATTTTGTGTGGTCAATGGTTACTATAGTTGATGTTCAATATCCACAAGGTGTAGAGTAAAATTTATCTAGGTTCATAAAGCTCAAAAGATTGAATTGTGGTTCCAACTGCTTCATGATGGGTTTGAGAATCTTAAATCACTTGTTAATAACTTATCATTTCAGCATTTACAATATTAATATCATATTAAGGACAACCTTATTATTTTATAGAGACTGATTATTTATAATTGGTGGTGCCTTCAATCTTTATTCTATATTTTCTCCACACCTACAATGACTCTTCTATTCTAGGTAGGCATATAGAACATTAATGTGTGACTGAAAAGTTATATATATTTTTGTATTGGTTGAAGATGCAACATGATATTATCTAGTATATGCATAGTTATGTTTGATATTAAGTTAATAATACTCCGACTCATGATGCAGAAAGATGGTTTGAGTCAATTGTAAATTTGAGTCCATTTGAGTTGATGGCATTTGATTTAATGGGGACTTTTCCACGATCAATTATTCACAAAGAATATGTCATTATTGTTTTCAATTATATGATTCACTAGGTGAAAATTGGTGTTGTTGCTAGTGCATTTGCAACTACTATTGGATATTTCCTCCTCAATTGAATAGTGTTTTAGCATTTTTGTTCAGAGTATATTCTTCCGAATAATGGTCTTGAATTTATAATTGATGCATTCATGTTTTAATGTCTAAGCTAAAGATATCCCACACTGTCAAGAATGCTTAGATAAATGGTTTAGTGGAACAGCTTGTTCAGACCTTTAGATGAATGATTGCAAAATATATAAACTTTAAACATTTAGATTGGGATAATTTCTTTGGTATGTGTATGTCACAAGGTTCAAAGTTTCATTAGTGCTTCACCATATAAACTCTTATATAATCATGATTTAATACTTCCAAAGGAGTTGAATTTACATTCACAATTGTCATGAGCTAGGTACTAGAAGCAATATTTAATAAGCATTCTTTTACTGGTTTGAGTGAAGTTTATTGAATACTTGGGTTGCATACAAATGAGATAATAATGGTGCTACAACTTTCATTATCATCCACCTACAAAGTACAAAGTGGATGACCTAGTATTAGTTTGTTTTCTCAATCATTTGTCTAAAAAGATCTTTACTTAGTGGAAATGACCATATTGAGTGTTGTGATAAATTGGATTGCAAGTTTATGAAGTTTGGCATGATATTTAATAGATCGATCCTTTAAAAATTATGTATATATATATATATAGTGGTTAAAGTGCTTCATACAAAAGGATCAGGAATAAGTTGCACCATCTAGATACCTTCTCGTGAAGTTTTTCCATATTCTTTTTTATTAACCAAAGAATCTTAAGTACGTTCCATCCTTCCGAGAAAAAGAGATAATGTAAGGTCCAAGTGTATAGCTTTGATGCCATATATTGATATTAGCGTAATATGATTTTGATATCTATTAGATTGGTTTCTTATAACAGTCACTTCTATATATAAATTAAGGTTTTTAGGCTATTTGAATATACACATTTTTATATTCTATGCACTCACAAATCCATGTTCTATGGCATTGAAGTAATTAATCCAATCCATATCCTATGGCATTGAAGTAATTAATCCACTAGAGAATTACAAATATAATATTATAGATTTATAATATAGAAATTCATCAATGAAACTTTTATATTTAAAATATTATATCTAAAAACCTAACCTTAAAAAAATACTATTATTTTGTTAAATAGTAGTGTTATTCCTGTTCAGTTTTACTTATTAGTTCAATTGAAAGAATTCTAAAAGTTTTTACTAGAAGAGAATTAGGTTTTTTGGTGAGAGTTCCATGATTATTTTAGATTAATGACTTGGTATTATACTCTACAATGAACTCTTTGAGTAACTATATACTAGCAATCAGATAAATTATAATAATAATATAAGAATTAGATGGTAGAATATTTTAGAATATCCAAGCACTTAAGCAAATCAAAAAGTTAGAAACATTCCAGGAAAGGTATTAATAGAGTGAAAAACACTCATCGAGATAGCATACGCTCTAGAGCAAGCCAGTAGCAGCTCGGTTGGGGGGTTTTGTTTGGGGCGGGTTAATCTAATCTAATACTAGTTTTTGTTCCATGTTTATCGCATTAATTTAAAACTGGTCTAGTAATCTATAGATCTATAGCTAGAGACGAGAAATTAAACAATGTACTCATCATGGCTATGGAAAAAACCTACACTAGAAGATATGGAAGCTTGCTTTTTTGGGAAGGTAGAGCTCCTTCCCGCTCGAACGTTTTTGTTCCAGGATTTTAGGGTTCGCATTGGCGCTAGCGGCGGGCGATCGGCGCCATGGATCAAGAGGCAAGACTGCATTTTATGAGAAATTTCTGGCCTGAATCTTGGCGTTAGAATCATCGCGGCAGTAGAATCGTCGAAGTTTTTGCTTGCCGCTTCCCTGGTAGGAATCTAACGCTTTCGTGTGTGTGCCCAGGCAGCGCAGCGATCCATGGGCCTACGCTTTCATCGAGCTGGAGAGATCGCAACGCGGTGCTGCTACTCACGGACCGCAGCCGCCGGATGAGGCGTTGGTGCCGGTGTGGCGCCATCATTCCAGCCGCGGTTCAAAGCTTTGCTACCTCGACAAGGCTGCGGCCTCCCTGGTGGAGTTTTGGGTCTTCGCTTGAGGGAAGAGCCCTTGGATGAGTTTTGGGTCTTCGCTTGAGGGATCCCCAGGGTAGCTCATCCGAGCAGTGGTCCGAACAAGAAAACGGCGAGATCCTTGGAAAGGTTTGTCTTCACTGCCTAAATTGGTCGCTTGAGGAGCTGCAACACGGTAAAGGGTATCCTAAAGACGATAGCACGAAGGAGGAACAACAAAGTTAAGAACTTTTCACTAGAACTGTGAGAAATAGTCCAGGAGGATGCAAGAATCGGTCGCTCAGTGGGAACTGCTGTCACGGCTGTTACGGGAAGATAAATTCCATTGGCACCTTGGTACTGCTTCAACTTTATCTCTCGACTAGAAATCTCGACCGGTTTCAGCTGCATTGTGGTGGACGAAGAACAGGAACTAAGCCTAAGCCTTCAGTACTCCTAGCAGTACTGAGGGAATGTTGAGAGTCATTGTCATGTTAGCTACAGCCGATGCGGAACTCTTCAGCGACTACTTTGGCATCGAAACCACTTGTCGTTCCTGGAAGTACTAGGTTGAGATCCACTATGAACTGCGCGGGAATGCCAACATCGATAACCACGTAACAAGGACAATGGAAAGAGTTTGCGAGCTCCACAGGGAGGCCGATGGGCTTTCCTCATGTCCCAGGCGGATGTCGAATGGGTCTGTAAACGATTGGCAAATACGCTGTTTGTGCTGCTTCTTCATGGAAGGCTTCGTGAAGAGGATCAGCAACAGCTGGTACTAGAAAGATAGTTTCTGCAACAAATATCGCCGAGACGTCTTTGACGATACTAGGAATCAGGTACTTAAGTTCTTTTACGATGATCTTCCTTGAACCATGTCGCTTTCTCGGCTTCTAGGCACTTGGTGGATCCAGGATTGTCAAAGCAAGCTATCTTTGATCCACAGACTGGGATGACAACGCTGGAGCTTAATGCAATCAGTCAAAGCTCCGCAACTCAAAGAGGTCGCACGAGTTCTGGTATCAGCTACAGATTGTACAACGATGAAGACTTTGACGACATGGCGTTGCTGTTCTCACATGGGGATAGTAGTTCTCAAGCTTCTGGCACTAGGCATATAGGACGTGGAAAACTTTGACTTCGTGGAGCCTCCCAGCATCAGCGCTATCAGGCATGCAATGACGAGTTTGCAGCGGCTGGATGATGAAGTAAAGAACTGGGAACTTCGGATTAACACCAAGAACATTCTCGACAGTTGTGGTCTGGTTCTCATTCCTTTGATATCATCTTCGACCGTCGAAGTTCGACGACCATCTCATTGGCATGGAGACCTGTTCAACCTCTTGGACGTGTACAGCATCAACGCAAAGTCACTGAGGAGCTTCCAGGAACAGATAAGAGGCCTGAAGGACGAGACAATCAGGAAGATCGTCACGTCGGCTTTTATGGAGAAGCTGGCAGTTTTCTGGCAACGGGCGAATCGGATACGACTGGGTCGAGAGGCTCACATTCATCCAGAGACTGTCCACTGGGGCTGGTATTTTTCTGCTCGTCGAGGGAGTTTTTGAGCTGCGTGACCGTCGTGGATCCCGAATGGGTGGCCGATCGTTCGGGTATGATTTGGAGTCACAGAGCGGTCATATCGAACTTGGGGAACACTCTCATGGCTAGAGTTCGCGGCAAAGAACAGAGCGGACTAGCTTTGCTACAAAAGCAGCTCGAGGCCAAAGGTGTCAGCCAAACAAGGTCCAGGATCGAGAGCCGCATGAACGAGCTGCACGTATACTGTCATGGCAACAGTGGCGAGACAGAAGTGCTGGCTTCAGAACGAGTGCATCGAGAAGCAGCTGAGATTCCGAACGCCCGTGACTCTGATCGTGTCTGGATGGTGAAAGAGATAGTGTTTGATGAGTGAGGTGAAGGCATCTCCAGATTTTGGAGCGTCACCTCAGACAAAGTGGGGTTTGGTCGCCTTTTGACGCACAGCTTCTCCCCAACTTGCGGTGAAACTCGACACTTTCAAAGCTGGCGCGTTTGCTGCATCGATGCCGTGATACTTTCATGCACAGGAAAGTGGATGTCTGAGGCGTGGGGAAGGCGTGGCAGAAAGTTACATGCAAAGCGGAGTTTCTCTTCCCGTCTACACTTTACTCTGCCAAGGGAATGGAGCAGCTCAAGGCGGATAACACACTAGGTGCGACTTTGAAGGTATGCTACTCTTATTCAATTTTCGTTTTCCACTCGGAAACCACTGTGTGAAGGTATCTCCGAAGGCGTACGAGAAAGGTGTGGCTCGGTGCAAGGCAGGACAACTGGTGGAAGACTCTCCTCTCGAAGGGCCTGCTGGATAAAGCTGCAATGAAGACGAGAGAGGGGCTTCGCCTGGCAAAGAAGATTGAAGAGGAAACCGGCCATGGTTAGATGCAACCAGAAGATCTCACTGCGAGGCGACGGGAGCTCCTCTTGGGATGATGAGAGCTGTGTTTGGGAAAATACGGGGTCGACTTAGCCGGGCTGGAAAAATCAGTGGGAGCTGCAGTGAGCATGAACCACCGGTGGCGTGCACGGGGATGAGTGCTTGGAGCAAGCAAAGCACAGATCGTCAGCGTCTGGAAGAAGGAAGCAATCCAGCAGTAGCAGTGGCAATAGACGCAGCAAAAGGATTGTTCGGTGTGTTTATGCCCGAAGGGGCTCGAGGCCACAGCTTTTGCCGCGACAGCATTGCCAACCAGCTTGGATCGAGCATCAGGAACAGGGATGGACTTGCGAAGGCTGCCAGGGTTGTCGACTTCGCGGCCTTGCTCACAGCGCAGTAGATGGACGAGCTGTGCAAAGCTTCCGTGGGAGTTTTCGGGCCTTGAGCGGGGGGAGCTACAGGTTTTGTCGACTGCCTCAAGAGCTCATTTTCTTTGCGCTTGAAACGCTCGGCTACGTACCCAGGCCGGAAGCCTGAAGCTTTTATTGATTAAACCAATACAAGGCTATATATAGGGCTTTATATCCTCTCGCCCTAGCGCCCTAGCCTCTGGCTCTCTTATCGATCTGGTATAGCTCCCTGTTGGTTCTGGACATTTTCTTTCCGACAATGAAGGCTTACAGCAACGGGCAGTACAAGAAGGCTTATGACGGCAACAGCAGCAACGGGCAGCACAAGAAGGCTTACGACGGCGGCAGCAGCAACAGGAAGTTCGCAAAGGAAAAGCCGAAGGAGGTGGACACTTTTGCAATCGAGGACGATTACGATCGTATGCAAGCAAGGTAAGCAAGCTTATATGGTTTGATGTTTACTTGCTTTTGTTTGTAACAGGTATGAGATCATAGGAACTCATCGTCCCGGTGAGAAGGAGGGATTACTCGTCGACCAATGCAGAAAATGTAAGCAGAGAGGTCATTGGGAAAGACACTGCAAGGGGGTAAGAAAACTCACTTATTGAATTTTTGACTCTTTGTTTTTTGTTTTAGCCTGGAGTGGATCCTTTTGCTCATGAACAAAAGAAATGCTACCTCTGCCTAGCGAAGGGACACGATACGTATCACTGTTCAAGAGATCCCCTGCGAAATGAGGACTGGGCAGAGAGGACTTACACTGGACCAATGAAGAGACTTCTTCTTGATGTTTGTATCAGTTTCTATTCTCTGTTTCTTTGTATGTTTACTTGTGTACGTTTTCAGGTGGGTTATATCGTTCAGGTAGCAGACTTCCCGCAATACCATCCTCGTTTCTGCGTCCAACGGATTGAATACGAAAACCTCAAACGGATCTGCAAAAAACATCCAGACTTGGGAATCTTCATTGTGCCTCGGCCACCCTGCCCTCTTGCATCTCAAATCTGGGAAGCTTTTCAGGGACTCGATGGATTTCTCAACGCAGGCCTAGGCTTCGAGTTATACAAATCCAAGGAAGAAATGCCTCCAGGGTATAACCGGTATGCAGCTGCAGATGAAGCATTGATTGAAGAATTGAAGAGCAAAGGAGAACTGGATGAGTTTGAGTATGCTTCTCTGCTAAACAGTATACGAATGAATGAATGAAAATAAAGTAAAAATAGATAGGAGTGGAAAGGTTTAATAATAGAAGGCATCTAGACCTTGGAAATTAAACCATCGTGACACTAGAGGCTATAATGTTCCCGCTCAAACGTTTTTCTCCCAGGGTTTTAGGGTTCGCTGGAGCTGGAAGCGATCGTCCCCGCAAGAAGCAAGACTGATTTCTGGCCTGAACCTCCAGAAGTTTTTATCATCTAGTTTCTTTGCATTAATCTATAGGTTACTGTGTTGATTAGTCTGGGAAGAGCACTCAACTCGTTCAATATTTATGTGATGGTTGTTTCTCAAGTCCATCCTTTGTACACAGCCAAGGAAAGTAGCAGCTTTTGCTCTTACTCGACGGGTTGCCAAAGGATGCCACGGCTGTTACGAGAAGATAAATTCCATTGGCACCTTGTTATACAGGGATCAACAGGACCTTGCCAAAATGGTCTACACCACGGATCACGTACTGCTTCAACTTTATCTCTCGACTAGAAATCTCGACTGGTTCAGCTGCATTGTGGTGGATGAAGCACACGAGCGAAGCCTGAGCATCGATTTACTCCTAGCAGTACTGAAGGAATGTATGCGTGCATGGTCGGACTTGAGACTCATCATCATGCCAGCTACAGCCAATGCGGAACTTTTCAGCGACTACTTTCGCATCGAACACTTGTCGTTCCTGGAAGGAAGTACCCAGTTGAGATCCACTACGAACTGCGCAGGAATGCCAACATCGACAACCATGTAACAAGGACAAGAGTTTGTGAGCTCCATAGGGACGCTGATGACGGGGATATAGCTTTTTTCAAGTCCCAAACGGATATCGAATGGGCGACTGGCAAATATGCCATGTACGCTTGTGGTGCCTTTTCATGGAAGGCTTCGTCAAGAGGATCAGCAACTGGTATTCGAGGCAGCACCAGCTGGTACGAGAAAGATAGTCTTTGCAACAAATATCGCCGAGATGTCTTTGACGATACCAGGAATCAGGTACTTTTACAATGATCTTCCTTGAACCATGTAGTTGACTTTTTCGGCTACTAGGTGGATCCAGGATTGTCAAAGCAAGCCATCTTTGATTCACAGACTGGGATGATAATGTTGGAGCTTATGGCAATTCTGTGACTCAAAGAGCTGGTCATGCAAGGCACGCTAGTTCTAGTGTCTGCTGCTAGGGACTTCTGAAATTTCCCGTTTGCACATGGGGATAGTAGTTCTCAAGCTTCTGGCACTAATGTGGAAAACTTCATCTTTGTGGAGCCTCCCAGCGTCAGTGCTATCAGTCACGCAATGATGAGTTTGTAGTGGTTGGAAGCCATAGCTAAGGATGATGAAGTGAAGAACTAGAGGCTCATGAACTTCGTATTAAAACTGGCCAAGGTTAGAGTGGAGCCACGGCTAGGCAAGATCATTCTCAACTGCCAGGCTCATGCGTGTGGTCAAGAAGGTGTGGTTCTTAGTACTCTGATATCATCTGTGATGACATCTTCTTTTGAGCTGGCTTTGAAGAAGACAAGCTTATAGTATACTGTTGGAAACTGTGCTTTTGTCATTGGCACAGATACTAATTAGCATCACTATTAAGCACTTTGGGGTTAATTATCATTTAAGTAATTAATTTCGTAAACACATTGCTCACAATCACTAGAATAATATATAAAAATCACAATGGCTTGATTATCAATGAAGTAACATTATAAGTAAGCTTGTTCAATCAAAATTCTTATTCAACATCAATCATTAAAGGAGATAAAGATTTTTTTTGCAAATGTCAAGGAGATGCTAAAGAAGGGTATTATCCAAAAGTCTTAAAATCTTTAAACATATAAATATTATTTTATAACAAAGCCTATGGAGTATTTGATTCTATATCAACTATTGTCAGTTAAATAAAGTGATTATCTTGAATGTGTACCCTCTTCCTCACATTACTAATTTTCTAGATTGTTTTTAGAAAAGTAGTTGGTTCATCAAATTAATTTTTTTTTTAAAGTGTTAGTAAATGTCAATGGCTAAAACAAATGTTCCTAAAATTGTTTTTTGTACATCATTTGATTTGTAGAAGTTAGTGATGCTTTTAAATTTGAACAATGTTTTGGCAAATTTTCCAGCGAATGAGGGTTTTTGCGACATGCCAAAAGTGATTAGTGAATTTATTGATGATGTCTTAATGCACTCATAGGGGATGTAAGAAGGGCACATTTGTAATGTTTGCAAGGTGTTAAATAGATTGTGCGAATTTAGTTTAAAGCTAAAGCAATCAAAGTGTATATTTGGATCTAAAGATATAATTTATTTTAGGTATTATATTTCTTGTGAAAATTTGAAAGTTAATTCTGACAAACTTTTAATTGTTATAAAGTTCTCTACTTAAAGTGTATGAATAATATGCAATACTTTTTAGGTAAAATGTAATATCTCAATTATTTTATTGATCATTTTTTATATCATACTGCACAATTATAAGTATTGGTAAAGCCATCAATATCATCTTTCATCAAGTTTAAAGATTGCAAAATAGCACTTTTAAATCTGAAAGAGCTATTGATAACTCTTTTAATTTTAGTGTATCCTAATTACACTTTGTCCTTTTACTTTGTATGTGGATGTTTTTGATATTAGTTTAAGAGATGTGTTGATGTAAAAAAGCACAAATATATTTGTTCAGTGTTATCTTATTGTATATATGAGTAATACATTATAATCAGTGGAAATAAATTACTTTATAATAAAGAATGAATATTTAGTAACAATTTGTTTCATGGATATTTGCATGGTTCTCAGACATTACTAAAAGATAATCATGCTATGGTACTTCATATGGTTGGTTTAATGGACTTTTAAGTTTTAGATATATAATTTTGAGGTTATTCATCATTAAGGGAGTTGTATAGTTAATGCTAATGCCCTTTTCCAAGTTCTACTTTTTATTTTGCTCTCTTTTCATGTTCTTTACAAATCTGTTATTCCAGCATTAGTGTCATTTCTAGACGAGGATTCTATATTGTTAGTAATTATTATAGTTAATGTTCAATATCCACAAAGTGTAGAGTAAAATTTACTTCCTCTTATTGAATTTAATGGCATTTGAATTTAATGGGGCCTTTTCCATGTTCAATTGTTCACAAAGAATATATCATTATTGCTTCCAATTACTTGACTCGCTAGGTGAAAGTTAGTGGTCTTGCTAATGCATCAGTGACTACTATTGGATATTTCTTCCTTAATTAGATTCTTTCGGATAATGATCTTGCATTCATGGTTGACGCATTCACATCTTAATATCTAGGCTAGAGATATGCCACACTATCAAGAGTGCTTAGATGGATGGTTTAGTGGAATGGCTTATTTGGATCTTCAAATGAATGATCACAAAATATTTAAACTTTAAACATTTAGATTAAGATGATTTCTTCAGGATGTGTATGTTACAAGAGTTCAAAGTTTCATTAATACTTCACTATATAAACTTTTATATAATCATGATGTAATACTTTTAATGGAGTTGAGTTTACCTTCACAATTATCATGAGCTTAGATATTGGGAAAAATATTTGATGAGCATTCTTTTACTTGTTTGAATAGAGTTTGTTAAAACACTTTGGTTGCATACAAGTGAGATAACAATGGTGCTATAACTCTTATTGGCATCCACCTGTAAAGTACAAAATAAATGACTTACTATTAGTTTGTTTTCTCAATCATATAATACGTGATTTGTCTAAAAGGCTCTTTACTTAGTTAAAGTGACCATATTGAGTGTGGTGATAAATTAGATTGCAAGTTTATGAAGTTTGGCATGATATTCAATAAATCAATCCTTTAGAAATTATGCATATATATAATGGTTGAAGTGCTTCATACAAAGGGATTAGGAATAAATTACACCATATACAGATCCACTGATACCTCCTCCTGAAGTTCTTCTAGATTCTAATTTATCAACCAAAAAACCTTAATTACATTCCATCCTTATGAGAAAAAGAGATGATGTAAGGTTCAAATATATGGTTATGATGGCATATATTAATATTAACATAGTAAGATTTTGATATATATTCTATGCACTCACAAATCCATGTCCTATGGCATTGAAGTAATTAATCCAATAGAGCATTACATAGATTTATAATATAGAAATTCATCAATGAACTTTCATATTTAAAATATTATATCTAAAAACCTAACCTTAAAAAATTATTCACTTATTAGTTCAATTGATCAATATATGATATAATTAAGAATTCTAAAAGCTTTTATTAGAAGAGAATTAGGTTTTTGGTGAGAGTTCCAAGATTATTTTAGATTAATGACTTGGTATTATACTCTACAATGAACTCTTTGAGTAACTATATAATAATAATCAAATAAATTATAGTAATTATATTGTGATCATTTTAAGCATGATATAATTGTTGATAGCTTAGTTAAGCAATGATTATCGAAGTATGCTATACATTTATATTCTATCAATAAAACTAAAAAATTTACACAAATCTTTCAAAACTAATTAGACTAGAAGTTTTTCCTCCTTAGCTACAAGGGACTCAAGGGCTGCATTTTTGTCTTCCACATTTTTAAATTTGATTCGTCTCCCATGACCTGGAAAAAAAACAACTCAAGGCTTCTAATGATGTTTTCTGCAAGAAATACCTGGCAGAACCCCAGATTTTTGAGTAGTTTTATTTGAAAGTGTGGCTTAAAGTTTAACCATAAACATAAGTGCCATCAAATGGATTTTTCCCTAGAACCTTAATTCTTCTTTAGCTTCTCTCTCACTAACACATTTTAAGTGCAGGGCACAATCTGTTCTTGGGCCAACATTAATCTAAAAGAATTAGATGGTAGAATATTTTAGAATATCCAAGCATTATATCCACCACTTAAGCAAATCAAAAAGTTAGAAACATTCCAGGAAAGGTATCAATAGAGTGAAAAACACGCAAGAGCACACACTCGTAGTTTTGATGCTTTTCTCTTCAAAAATGTCATGCTCCATCACTAAATAGGGCTCTTTGCTTTTCCAAAATTTGGCGGGAAATTGTAAAGTGTTTAGGGTTCTTATTGCGGAGGAGGGCTTCGTCCTCGAGGTATGACGCCAGGCTCTCTCTCGCTCAGCTCTCGATATCTCAGGGGATCCGGCAGTGGTACCCTCTTTCTTTCGCGCATTCATCTAAGGAGCGAGAAGCATTGGAAATGTGGAAGAAAAGACTTCAGTGACAGACGGGGCAGCTGTGGGGTCGCTCTCCATCTCCATCGTCCCAGAAGGAAATTTAAGGAGAAGGGAAGAAAGAGGGCAGGGCACAGGTCGGGCAGTGGCCAGATTTTTTAGAATTCTTCCCATTGCCAGCTTCGAGCCAGAGCGCTGCTCCGTGGGAATCACTCTAAGCTACTTAGCTGACGTACGAGCGAGAAGAAAAGATTAAGAAAGTGGTGGAGAAACCAGGAAGAAGAAGGGGGAGCTTTCTCTTATGGTTTCTAAAACATGGGCAGTGCTTCGTGGGCTGGGCCTTCTAGTCTTGGCAGGATGAAAGACAGCTACTGGGTGCTCAGAAGAAGCCAGCGGAAGAAAAGGTGGTTAAAAGAGTGTTGTCGTCTCGTCAAGGTGTCAAAACTCTCACTTGGCGCTGACGTCCTCTCGACGTGGATTCATCCAGGCTTGAACTTCCCGAGGATCAATCCTGATCATCTTTTCTCCAGAGGAGGTTGGCTAGTGAGGACAGAGCTCCGTTTAAACAGGTCAAAGTTTCGCAACTCCTTCAGCCTTTGCTCGCTGTTCTTCGTCGCCATCGCTCACGGCCATTGTGATGATTGCTTTCACGTCCACTATAATCCCAGAGCAGCAATTCTGGCACTACTAGGTGATGCTTCAGGGAAGCACTCCAATGATTGGGAGAAACGTAACTTGATGAAGCTTTTGTCGGCACTACCACGGAGGTGGAACCTTATCCGTTGCAAAGGATATGGACTGTCTCCACAGATTCCGCAAGCGAGAGCTAGCCAACTATTCCAACCGAAGGTATCTTTCTCATTCTCCATGTTTTATATTATCGCACTCACTATATATGTGATTGACATGCCAGTGCTTCTTCTGTGCAAGTGCAACCACGACTACATAGCCAAATCAACACGCGTAAGGCATACTAGGCATGGAAAAAAAAAGCTGCTGGAAGGCGACAGACCTTCCAAAATTCGCTATCAACAAGGTAATACGATCGTCCTCTTTTGGTTTTAGAAGGCCTCCTTGATGTTTAGAGAAGACGCATCAAACTGCTGCCGCTCATGCCGTTTAGAAATACTTTCTCATTGCGGTTCTAACTCGCGACCTTGTAATGCTGAATCAGGCGATCGGCTTCCCTTTGTCCGCTGAAATAAGCACCATGCGTCGTCGAATACTGATCCCTGTGAGTTGCCTCACCGGCAAAGAGCAACTGCAATGGAGGACCTGAGTCACTTAGACGTGGAACCGGGGCTGCAAGGTGGTCGATATCATCACCATTGGAACCAACTGCGACGTAGGAGTAGGAGCCGAGAAACAAAGGATTCCGATTCCAGCACCCGTGAGCTACGTGAACTTTGCCGCTGTGCGTGCCACCGTTAGAACTGGCGTCGCCACCATTGCAACAATGCTGCCGCTGTGACCCCAGACCTGCAACTCGACGCTTGTCACCGAAAGCAGCGAGAGTTTTCTGGACACCTCGGGCAATCTCTTCGTCGGACAGCTTCTCCATCTCCTTTGCCTCGGCTCCAGCGAACCACGCAACGAGCACGTTGGACTTCTTATGGATGGGATACAGGGAATGAGTCTTCCGCATCCAACGAGGGACCTCGTCTTCGTCAGCGTCTGCCTGAGACTTGTGGATGAACTGCAAGTTGGGATGTTGAGAGCCATCTGGAGGAGGTTCGACGAGGACGAACAGCTTGTCCACGACACCGAAGCCGAGCTTCTCTATGGAATCCAGCTTCCAGTCGGGCAGGCGAGGCTGGAATAGCTGCTGTTCTTCCAAAGCCTTTGCCTTGAGAACGCCGAGAGAGACCGTGACGATAACGTGGTCAGCTTCGAAGGTGGAGCCGTCTTCGCAATGCAGCTGGACAGGATACCCGGAGGAAGCAGAAGTTCGAGCTACATCAGTCCAGACAACCCTGTCGACTTTCTTGTGGAACCGGATGGTGTCGGGTGGCAAGCTCTTGGCGAGAGCCTGGACAACAGAGGAGAATCCTTTACCTATGGTTATCTGCTCACCAGGGAACTCCCAGTACTCGTTGAACGCAAGGAGGTCTAGATCGTGCAGCGACTCGGCAGCAGTGACGCAGCGCTCCCAGTTCTCCTGAATTGTGAAGACACCTTCTTGAAGAGCTCTCAAGTTCCAGCCGCTGGAAGCGATGGAGGGGTTGTCCTGTTTGAGCAGCAATTCAGCAGCATTGACTCCAGCAGGTGTAGCAGCTTGTTTGGCGAGAAAACTTTCGAAACCACGACGAAGATACGACCCCAGGTTGCCAGAGTCTCCATGCTCGAGCGTCTCCGCGGTTACTTCCGGTGGCTCTCCTCTCCGGTCGTTCACATCGTCGACGAGCTGCCTGTAGAGGGAGGCAACGTCGTGTGCAATGGTGGAGTGCACAGTGACTCCTCCCTGAGCTTTGACAATTGGGGGCTCCGGAAAGCCGTCCATGCACTCAAACGGAACATCCCCGTGGAGTGCTCTGGACTTTTCAGCGATGTCGAAAATGGGACTGCCTTCGACGCCGTGAATCCACGTAGCACCGATCTCAATCTGCTCTCCAGTGTCGAATTGGGACGTGAAGATTCTGCCGCCGATCCTGTCACTCGCTTCCAAAACGGTGATTTGCCAGTCGCGAGCAGCAGCAGGGGAAGAGTACAAGCGACGAGCTGCTGAGAGGCCCGAAATGCCGGCTCCAATGACGATCACGCGGGGTTTTCCGCATAGCTTCTTGAGCTCCATGAGCTTTCGCAAGGCCTGATGGAAGGAAGAAGGAAAGGAAAAGCGAAAGACGAACTGGTCACTTCATCTTCACGAGGGAGTTGAATGGAGAAGGAGGGTATGCTTATGATTATAATCATGCATGCGGTACCTGACGTTGAGCTTTTTTGGAGGAGAAGATTCAAGCACAGCGTTGCTCGATTGCGCTGGTTGCGCAGGTCATTGCTTCGTTTCCACTTCGACGAGACGTTAAACGACCGCAAGTCTGAGAAGGAGAAGAGGAGAAGCTCAATTGAAGCGAAAATGCCAAGCCTTGACAAGGCAGTGGCAGGGACAAGTTGCGCAGCGCTAATCAGAAGAAAAGGCAGACAGAAGAAAGTCGGGGACTGGAATGCGAGCTGGCCTGTCTTTGGACACTGCAGAATGGAGGGGGAGAGAGACAGATCACAGCAAGGGGAAGTCGGAGGCACGAGGAAGAAAAGGATTGGCACAGAGGTACCAAAAGCCGAGGTAGATTCTTTTCCTTTTTTCTCTTTGCTGTTGGCTTGCTATTCCACCGCAAGCAACACTTGTTCCACTACTGCTAACTAATGCTCCCTTTTCTTGCTGCTGCAGTGAGAAGCTGTGATGAACTGCTGTTGCGACAAACACACACTTGAAGGAGTTGAAAGAGAGAGAGAGAGAGAGCAGTGGTGGGTCTCTATGAGCGGTCGCGGTCCATTTATATAGGACCGGCACAGTAAGCACAGAGTGGGGGCCTCGTCCCTAGAACACCACAGCAACTTGCGATATGGATGCCAACATTTTGGATTTTGGACCATTTGCCCCTCTGCGGTTTGTCCTCTACACCTTTCCTTTGCATTTGTTTTTCATTTCTTTGCACAGTAAGCTGTGGTCCAACTACTGATGTTGCCTGTGGACGTAGGTTGTATATACTGGACGTGCCGCTGCCAAAGCTCAGGGCGGCGTGACGTGAGAACTGGAGAGCGAGAGCGAGAGAGAGAGAGAGAGCGAAACAGTTAACACTTCGGGTCGAAGGAAGAATCGTCCAGTCCAGGTAATGTTCTAGTGGAGAGCTTTTGCTTTTTTGTTTTAGCTTTGGTCGTCTCGACTGAATCATTTTCTCGCAGACGAGAGGGGGTGGAAAACGCGCGCAAGACACTTCGCTCCGATCGATATGTTCCCTTGGAACATATCGGAAGTACAAAAACTCGCCTGGGAATCATGCCCAACATACGGGGTGGCTGCTGCTGCTGCTGCTGCTTGCGATCCTCTCAACGTCTGGAGCTTTTCAAAAGATTCTTGCTTGCTCCAGCGGAACTGAATATCTCGATCCTGGAAGAGGGAAGGCATTCCTTTTGCTTTTCGCTTGTCTCGCTCACCACTTTTCTCGGTACTCTCGCGACGCTGCCGACACCAAAGCTGGAGTTCTCCTGTAAGTTTTCATGCTCTTTTGGCTCTTGTCATTTGCTGATACCACTCTTTGCAGTGTCCTCGAATGGTGTTTGCTCGATCGATGCCAGAGAAGGAAGCCTTTTAAAAAAGAAGTCGCAAAGAAGGTGGGCGCTCTTTTGTTGGCTCCAAGCTACATAAATCTATCAGCGCTGAGCTCGTGTTCGTGCAGGTCTTTTGAAAACTATTCTTTAACATTTTGCTCGTCCAAATTATATAGATGGAAGTTCACTAGAAACGAACAAAGCAGCCAAAGCTTTCGACGCCACACGACGACGAGCGAAACAGCGACAGACAAAACAAATCACGTAGGGGTCACAGTTGTTCCAGTAACAGCAAACACACCCAAACAATTCTACTCGCCAAAGTACCTCCACACGATAACAGCTCCTTGTCAATGAGGTGTACTCAGCGCCAGTTAATTTACGTGATGTCAATGCATATCCATCCATATGATCTTCTTCTTCTTCCTCTTCACTGGAATGCAAAGCGTTTGGATCAAACAAATCCACCGCGTTTGGTGGTGACAGTTTGCACTGCGTAAACATTGTTAGCCTCAAACCCCAAAACAAATGGAAAGAAAATCTTACCTCGCTCTTTGACACGCTGGGACGTTTGATCACCAGCTTCTGCCACAAGCAACAAAGAGAGAAAGATTAGAATACAACTTAGGAAAACTTGCTTGCCTTGCAACGGGGAGTCAAGTTCCGCTGGCCCGACGAGAAGAAAAAACTTTTCTCGGCAACAGCATTTACGCTCCACATCCTCACATGCTCTTTGCAAGGTCCAAGGAGACAGAGCTGCTGTCCATTCTAGCCGGGGACACATACCCACAGTACCTGTAACATGGGTGAATATCTCAACCGGATCTCACTGCCTCTTAAACAAAGTCACGTATGTACAGGAGCTCTCGAGCCAACGAGTGAACATTCTTCTACTTCTTCTTCTTCGCTTGCTGCGTTTGCATATGAGTCGCGGACTCGCGGCTCGCGCTCGCAAGGATGAGAGGATATTAAACATCAGAAACTACTTATCTTTTGGAGGAATTCCAGAGTCGATTCGCCAAATCTGCGCCATTTAAAGACGTGATGTGAGTAGAAGTCTACTACCACCTGCCTGTGCGACTTCGAAGTACCTGAGTTCTTAATGAAGCGCGCAAAGCCGAGGTCTGTTACAAAATTGGCGTCCGTTTGCTTTGACCAGAGCCATCGTGCTCGCTGTCAGACCGGCCCAGACTACCGAGTAAAAAAACTGGTATATATCTTGGCCAACTGCAAAACAGAGTTTACAGTCAAATCTCTCGCTAGGATTTCTTAATACCTTGCCGCAATGATACAGTCGTCATTGTTAATCCTGTGAGCATAACAGCTGAAGCGAATGGAAGGTACTGCCAAAATGACATGTTAGAGCTTGAACAGCAAAAAGCTTTCATACAGCCAGAGCTTCGAGGCCATTCAGCTTGAAAGGTGATGGCTTGTTTCGTGCAGCAGTGTAATGACCGGCTACCAGATCCATGGCGTCCTGGACAGGGTCAGAACATGTCACCATCAGGGGTCTCTTTGCAGTGGGGGCACACATTACCTGTTTGACACCGTCTGTAAAATTGTTGTAGAAATATCGAGCAAGTGCATTAAAGCCGTCGCGAATGAGGCCAAAAACGGTACGCTTCCCGTATCTATCACAGAGTCAGACGGAAGATTGCATATCCAATTCAGACTTACCTTACGAAATCCCCTTTCAACGCCGGGGTTCCTGAATATTGTATGCTTATCTCGTCCCCGTGGTTCGCCCACACTACGCGCATTCGTGAAGGCTTTTTGTATTGAAAATACAATGAACTTACTTGCTTTGAATTTCGCGTCAAAACTTGGATCCTTGTGTATTGTATCTGAAGCCTTGAAAACACCGAGATGCCGAAGCTGAGTCTCTAGTGCTTTCCTTCCAAACAAACTCTAGAGAAAACACAAACGAGATATTAGTTTCTTTTTCTTTTAGCTTGTCAAGTTCGGAACCTGAGTAACATTTGTCCGGTCTAAGCAGTCCACGCAGTTAGTTCTAATAACACCAAGCTGTATTTGAACGACGTCGCCAGTGGCATTGGCCAAGAAGAACCTGTTAAAAGCAGCAAACATCAACAGCGGCAACATTTTTGCGTGTACCTCTGTTCGAGAATACTGTTTTTCACGTCCTCATAAAGCACGGATAGACGTTCAAAGTGTATGTGACCACATATACGATGAAAATCAAACTGCACATAGCTGCACATGAAAATGAATATTGATAACCACAAACTTATGAAATAAACTGCATCCTTACCGTAGCTTGTCAGTTACGAGCCTTTGCATAGCATTTGCATATGCTAAACTCAAGACCCCTTCACTCCCTTGCTGAAAAAGAGTTGCACACTATAAATACACATATTGCATACATACGGCAGCCTCACCTGGTCTATCAAGTCTACCGCCACAACAGAACCATATCTTTTTGATATGTCACGGAAGTGACGCTCCACCACTTTAGGCTGATCACGGGAGGTGAATTCATTTCATGATCAAGTGACTTAAAAGCATACCGTTTCATCTAGACACAAAGGCCGGATCGTTGGTTTATACGTGAGGTCCACTATTTGCTCCCATACTACAGGTATTGAGCCCCGAACCTGCAAATTACTGTTTAAAAATCACAAAGACTTCAGTGTAACACGACGAATACCTGTACATATGATGCAGTATAACCATCAACCTCAAGTATTTGTTCCGTCTCAACAAAGTTAGCAGCATAGCCTTCAAGATTTGCTCCCCTTCGCCACATCCTCGTACCTACAGTGCAAAACCGACAAATTGAAACAGGAGTAAAATCAAAAGAGCTGTGTTACCAATTCTGCGGATGCAGCGTCTCGACAGCAAAGCAATAGTTGCCAATTTGTCTCCTATCAATATCTGCATTGTCTGATAGCGTGTGTCATGTTAAGGAGTCGTAAGCATTTTAGAAAAACTATCCCCAGGGTGTGGATATTGCCTTGAATAACCGGCAGTATGTACGGTTCCAGCTGCAGAGAGTAGAACGTCAATTCAATTGAGGGCGCATCATCTGCTACTGACCTTCCTTTCGATAAGCTCCTCTAGCAAGTGCCTGTTCCACAAAAATCTGGGATCTGCCTGTGAGGGAAACGAAAAAACAAGCATGATTTTTCAAGTAACTGCACTAAGAAATTGTACCATCTTCCAGAGCGACTGCAATTCTGGTTTTAGCACTCCATGCGATAGCTGCGTGCTGCCAAAAAATAGCGCCTTCAGCAGCGACATTACAATTAACGAGCTTCATACTTACGTAAGCGTCAAGTCCGTCTCGAAGGAGAAATACAGTCCTTGAGATGCCTCCACTGATTTCAAGAGGCTTAGAAAATGGACCTCATCTTTCTTCTGCAGAGAAAGAAACACAGTAAGCTTTAAGACAGGACGAGCGTAGAAGCTGTTACAACCTCTTCATCACCTAGGCCTTCAAACTGTGCATTACATTCCAGGATCCTCATTGACGACACTCTAAAAATTGGCACGCCGCGGTAAGTTCCAGTCTCATCCCTCGAGGTAATCACGAAGATATAAGTTCCTGAAACACGCGCAAATCGAAAAAAAAAAAAAAAAATGCTGTCCAGACTTTAGAAAAGAGTAGCATGCCTGCCAGTAGTCTGATCATCCCAAGGATTCCATAAACTGTAGAAGATGGCACGTCTTGATCAATGGGCATGACTTCTGAAAAGAGAAAAAGAAAGAAAAACTTTCATTGACGAAGACAAAAGAAAATAAAATCTACCATACCAACAAGAGACGCTTCTCCAGTCACGCGATCAAACGAAAGAGGCCGATGAGGTCCGTCCATCGGCTCAAAGACATACCGCTCTGGAAATTCCAAGAGCCGCATTGACGCACACAGCCGCGGCAGCTGCGAGAACTGCGCCATTTCCCTCTCCATCACCATAATCCCCGGAGGAGCTGCCACAATCGCACAAAAACCCATCCATCGGAGCTACAAGCAAGGAATTCGATGCCGCTTACACAGATTCACATCAGCTACCATGCGATACGGTGGATTCCCTAGTCGGCTCGAGCTACCATGATCGATCGAGAGAGAATCCCGCTAGCTAAGACCTAATCTGGGGGGCTGCATTCTCGAAGAACAAAAGAGAGAGAATTAGGGCAAAGCAGAGCTTACTAATTATCTATTCCCATGAATATTCTGATCACCTATTAAAGTTTGATACAGTTTTAAAATAATTCATAATTAGTTTATCATGTTTATGAGCCATTTGTTTGCTAAGCTCCGCCACCACACCTTCTGTCCCCGCCCTCAACTTCACCAACTTGCCTATTGCTCCTCTTGATGCATCTTGGGTTGGAACCTCAACACAATCCTTGGCATTTACAATGAGAAGTGTTGTCACCCTTGTTTTGCTTCTAACTCAGCTGCAATATGATCACAAGCATGGCATCAATGACTAAGGATTGGTGTTTGATCTCCATTTCTCATAGAAATTTACAAATGTCCTTGGCCAAACATTTGCCTGTTGACCACATGCTCCACATCTTCAAACTTCTTCATAACATGTGGTGCAGAGGCAGTAGCAACGGTTTCAAACAATGTTCAAATTCCATTATCAATCTTGGCAAGATTCTCTGATTGCAAGGGGGTGAGGTTGTTATAGATTGTGAAACCGAATTGGCACCTCGGGTTGATGGTGTTCACATAAATTCCAAAAGGGATTCATCCAAGCGTCACACCAACGTTAGAGATTGCCAGGTCCAAAACTCCAATTGTTCGAATAGTTCTATCATCAATGTGGAGAAGTCATGGCCAAGGGTGGCTGTCCATATCTCGAGAGTCTGCCACTAACCTTTTCCAAGCACTTGGGCCATGTGTTGTGATTCAGCAATTGCTGCATCTGTAAGTTTCTGCCTATGGAGAAAGTATGCACTTCACACATACATGATGCAATGTCTCCAAGAGAAAATCTCCATTGGAAGTAAGCTTGTCTCCAGATATAGAACCTTGTACACCCTAAATTCTGCTGAGATGAAATGCTTATAGTCTTGGACTTAACTTTTGCTCCATACAAAGCCACTATTGTTACTTTTGTCATGTAATAGGTGTGTTTGACACCCCACCTATGTACGTTGATTGGAAGCCCTTGCCACTGATGTGATGGGCTCCTCTACTTCAGTTTTCACAGGAGGTGTTGATTGACTAGGTACTTATATTTCTCCATGTGCTCAATCCAGCTTAGCTTCATCATGATTCAAAGTATTATCTCATAATTTTGTAGCTTAATATCTATAGTACTTATTCTATAACACATCACCTTTCAATGCTTCGCTTCATTTTTCAGTTCTTCAGTCCATGCTTCTTCTGCAGCTGCATACCGGTCATACCCTGGAGGCACTTCTTCATCGGATCTGTAAAACTCGAAGCCTAGGCCTGCTTCGTCATCCAGTCGCTGAAAATATTCCCAGATAAGGGCCGCAAGAGGACGGGGTGGCCGAGGCACAATGAAGATTCCCAAGTCTGGATGTTTTTTGCAGATCCGTTTGAGGTTTTCGTATTCAATCCGTTGGACGCAGAAACGAGGATGGTATTGCGGGAAGTCTGCTACCTGAACGATATAACCCACCTGAAAACGTACACAAGTAAACATACAAAGAAACAGAGAATAGAAACTGATACAAACATCAAGAAGAAGTCTCTTCATTGGTCCAGTGTAAGTCCTCTCTGCCCAGTCCTCATTTCGCAAGGGATCTCTTCAACAGTGATAAGTGTCGTGTCCCTTCGCTAGGCAGAGGTAGCATTTCTTTTGTTCATGAGCAAAAGGATCCACTCCAGGCTAGAAAAAGAAACAAAATGTCAAATCTGGAAAATTCAGAATAAGTGAGCTTTCTTACCCCCTTGCAGTGTCTTTCCCAATGGCCTCGCTGCTTACAGCTTCTGCATTGGTCGACGAGTAATCCCTCCTTCTCACCCGGACGATGAGTTCCTATGATCTCGTACCTGTTACAAACAAAAGCAAGTAAAGATCAAACTCAATCTTGCTTACCTTGCTCGGATGCGTTCGGCAGGGTTCTCGATTGCAAAAATGTCCACGTCCTTGGGCTCTTCCTTTGTGAACACATTGTGCTGCCCGTTTCTGCTGCCGCCGTAGGCCTTCTTGTCCTGCCCGTTGCTACTGCTGCCGTCGTAAGCCTTGCTGCAGTGACCGTTGCTGCTGCCGCCGTAAGTCTTCTTGTGCTGCCCGTTGCTGCTGCTGCTGTAAGCCTTCATCCGGTAGCTATACCCCGTTCTTGGTGTTGAAAAGATACGAGCTTTAAATCATCCTGTTTATCGAGGATCCCTTACCTGGAGGGCCGAAGCAAAGAGGACCTTGAGGAGAGCTTTATGTAGCTCCGATGCGCGATCACAGCCTGGGTGGCACAAATAATTAGGTTTCCATGAGCGACCGCCATGATTGATTACCTGGCAGGCGGGAGAATCGAGCGATACCTGGAGGATGCCACTTGTTGTCCTTGGCCACCGGTGGCGGTGGCGGCTAGAGCTTGGGTCTCTAGTCGCGTGAGCCAAACGAGGGATTTCTTGTTGCGCGCATCTTACCTTTTTGGTCATGGAAGTTTCCCAGGTGGCGGGAGTTGATTTTTTCAGAAACATTTTCACTTGTGGTCCATTTGACTTCTCTGGATTGCAGCTCGCTGGAATCTCAAAGCTCACCAGCTCGATGTGAAGTATGGAGAGATCCAGGAGGAGGTCTTTGTAGAAGGTTTTTTCTACTGAGGCAAAGAGACATTTGTTTGACTCAAGAAAGCACACTATGGTTTGGGGCAATCTCCCAGGGCGTGGTATGACTGATTTCTCCGGCATCTTGGCTTCATTAAAATTCGAGCAGATGGCAACGTCTACATGTTCTTTTGGGGAAGAATCTTTGCTCTCCTAGCACTTTATATATGTGGATGCCCACTGAGATAAACTTTGGTACGCTTAAGTGTTTTATTTTTTCCAAACCTGAGATCTTGGCCATGTAGTTTTGTTCTGTTTCGGCAAAATCCACTTGGATGTTCCAAGTGTCCAATGCTTTGCGGCGCATCGCGTGCTTGAGTTAATGAGCCTAATTACACAGTTTAAAACTAATTGAACCAACGGCACTGGAATATACTCATATAACCCTCAAATTTCTATTAAACTCTCCAATTTTTACATCAATGAGATTTATCGAATAAGCGATGAACCTGGTGGCAATGCGATTCCAACCTGGTTCTTCTCCTTGAACGATAAAAAGAGAAGAAAAGGAAAAAAAAAGAAAGCAAAGAGAAAAGAAAAAAGAAAACGAGAAAGAGAGAAGAACTCTATACCTCATGCTCGAATCCCAGGTGTTAAGAATCGCAGCACCACCAGAGGAGTAGAGGACCCTCGATCCACCGCCTAGCCAGCAAATCCGCAGAAGAAGGAACACTCAAGAACTTCTCAAAGTCATAGCAGCAGCTCTATACCATCCCAGGTGTTAAGAATCGCAGCGCCACCAGAGGACTGACCGTCAATCGATCCACCGCCTAGCCAGCAAATCCTCGGAAGAACACCCAGAACTTCTCTAAGTCGTAGTAGTAGCACCACCTTGCTCGAGCTCAACATCCGCGGGATCTCCAATCCAGGGCCTCCCCTCTCGACGAGCAAACTGAATTCGCAGCCTTCCATCAGCGTCCACTCCATAGACCACACCTCTGCTCGCCAGCGTTTCGTTCCCCGAGTGCTTTATCTGTACCCGGTCACCTATCCGAAACGCTTCCACGCGCTCCATCTCCCCCGGCTTGCAAACCCACAGCCTCTCCAGGAAGCAAAACGCTACTCGCAAGTCCCCGTCGTCAGTGATCTTGTGAACCACGCCGATGCTCTTGTGCGTCACCTCCCCCCACTGGTGAGTTGGCGATGGAACGCTCGGTTTCACTCTCACCCAGTCGCCGATGCATATCGGCTGCTCTTCGTAAAGTTCCACCTCGGTTGGATCCAGCACCCACGACCGCTGCGACGCCGGCGAGTAAACTCTCAGCTTTCCATCCGCGTCCACCGTGGTGATCGTCGTGATCGTGGAGTGGTCGTGTCCCGGCCATCCAAACCGCGGCTGCGCGACGCTGGCTTTCACGCGTATCCTCTGGCTGGCTTTCAGAGGCATGGCTCTTTCCACTTCCGACGGTAGGCCGATCCACCTTTCCTGTTCACCGCAGAATCCCACGAGCAGTGCACGCTCGTCGTAGTCACCTCCGTTTTCATAGCCGATTCCCTGCACTATTCCCACGCTGCCTGGCCGAGCACCTTTCCAACCATACTTGGTCTCTTGGAGATCGTCTTTCACTTTCACCCAGTCGCCTACTTCGAAAATCTCCTCCTTTTCAAGGTCGGCAGGATCTCCACGCCAGGGAGTCTTCAGTCCGGGAAATGCTATCCGCAGTTCTCCGTCGGCATGGACCCCGATTATGACACCTCTAGAGCTCGCTGTGCACCCTCGCCACCCCCACCGTGGTTCAGATATTCCTGGTCGAAATCTTACGTGCTGTCCAACACGAAGAACCTGAACCTTTTCCACCTCCGTATAGTGTGCCATCCAGCGGCCAGACTTGAAGCACCCTGATAGTTCCAAGTACCCGGAATCGGAGACACTGTGAACCACCGCAACACTTTCGCTTGTAGACCCGTGCCAATCGTAGCTGGGCTTCAATCCTGTTGGAAGATTTAGCCGGACCCAATCCCCTACCTCGTATCCTGACAATCTTTCAGCATCTCCGGGAGCCACAAGCCACATCGTAGTTCTGTTTGCCACCTTCACCTGGTACAGAAATCCCACGAGAATTAATACAACATAAATCAAATGAAAACTCTTACATTTAGCGTTCCGTCCATGTCGATTCGTGATATTCTGCCTTTGGATGCAGATGTTTCACCAGACCAGTCTAAGCGGGGCTCGCTTATCCCTGGAGCTATGCGGACCTCCTGTCCCACCTCAAATGGTGTGACTTTCTCAACGTCGGTGATGGCACAAGTGTAAGCCTTACTGCGGTGAGCGAAGCCTACACCCATGTCGCACTCGTCAAGGTAGAACACAACACCAACACTTGCCCGGTTTATATCCTCCCAGCCAAACTTCGGTGAACACACGCAAGCTCTGATACGAACCCAGTCACCAACCTGAGAAGTAGAAACTAAGTAAGGTTTTCGATTTTTAATAAAAGACATACCTTGAAGTCCTCAATTATCTCCACATCAGAAGGATCAGCTTCCCAGTTCGTGGACCGTGAAGGAAGATCCACAAGAAGGAGACCATTGCTCGCGATTTCACTGATCATTCCAATGCTGTGGTGCGATTCTCCATTCCATGCAAACTTAGGCTCCGCCACAGATCGTTTCACGCAGATGCGATCTCCAACCTGAAAGAAACCTGTTGAGAGCCTTTAAACAAATATGAAATGTTTTGTACCTTGAAAGGTTCGACTCGCTCCACTTCCTCGGGCTCACAATGCCAGGGACTTGTGAGGTAAGTGAAGTCGATTAACAAGCTGTTATCAGGACGTATACTGTGTACGACTCCGATACTACCGGGAGTTACGGACCCCAAACCATACTTTGCAGACGTAAGAGTTAGTCGAATGCGAACCCAATCGCCGACTTTAAACTCTTCGACCCTTTCCATCTCGGCAGGATCAGCTTTCCATCCTCGTGATGCACCAGGAAAGCCAATTCGAAGAATTCCATCGTCATCAACACATAATACTGTTCCAATGCTTTCTCGAGACTGACCGCGCCAACCAAATCTAAGCCATAAAGGAAATGTTAAAAGAAAGAAAAAACGAAGAGGAGAAAAGCTTGCCTTGGTTGTTTCACGGTTGATTTGAGTCTTACTGAATGACCACGATCCAGTGGAATGAGTTTCACAACCTCGTCTACTGCCACTTTAGCTTCCCCGGAACAGAAAGAAACAAGGAGTGTAGTTCCATCAATTATGTTCTGGACAAAGCCAACACTCGACGGCCTTGTACTACCCCATCCATAGCGAGGCGTGCTTATCGTCCTTCTAAATTTTACCCAGTCCCCCACATCGAAGCTACAGCCAAAAAGAATATTAGTAACGAAAATTATTGACATCAAAATACAGCACTTACACTGTTGGTGACAACTGAATTTGCTTTTCGTCTAGAGCATCCATCAAGTCCTCCGAAATCCATTCACGGGGCAAAGCTTCGAGTAAATCCCGTAAAGTCTTTCCACTGTATTGTAAAAAAGAAAAACAAAAAAAGTTGTAAAAAAAAAACAGAAAAACTAAAAGCTCTGAAAAGAATACTAACCTGTGATTTTTTATGTCCGTGGCCGCATCACTTTTATTTAACATAATTACAATCCAATCAAGGTTTTCCCGAACCATTTTCGCCATTTCTGCAGCTATATGAAGTGCAGTATTCCCATTTTCATCCTGCAACGCCGATAGTGAGATTCAAATCTGAAACCAGAAAGACCAACCTGTATAGTGCAGCTGGCATCGCGATCAAGAAGCAGATGTACGCATTGTTTTGATCCTTTTGTTAGTGCTATTTGAAGCGGAGTAGAGCCTTGTGCATTACGAACGTCAATACTTACGCCAGCATCAAGGATGGTCTAGAAAAAATCACATTAGCAAACTTCCTCTCTTACACAATATTGAATACCTTAACCATTTCAACGTCGTTAGCAGCAACTGCAACATGCAAGGCCGTCTGGCCTTGCTCTGGATCCATTGCATCGCCGTTTGCTCCAGCATATAAAAACAATCTCACTAGCTCTCTCGCTTCTGCACCAATATGAAACAGAGTTCCGTGTGACTATAAATGCACCTTTGATAGCATACCTTCCTCGTGAGCCTTTTTAAGAGATGATGCCAAGCACAAGGCTGTTCCTAAAGGGCTCGGAATCTCAATGGCATTCTCAATGTCTTCAATCGACGCAATTTCAACCCATTTTCTTACAACAGCAACGTTTGCTGTGAGAACACACATATGCAAAGGTCTGCAGTAACACAGCCGGTTAAAGAGAACTGATAGAAAAGCTGTTAAGAAATGACATACGTAAAGTTCTCCGCGTTGCGATATGCCATTGAACTGCAGCCACCATTTTCCAAAATGACAACGGCGCAATCCGTATTTCGCCTCGCCACGGCTTGATAGAGAACCGAGTCACCATCATCTCCAATTGCAAGTGGATCCGCTCCAGCCAGTAAAAGCTCCTATTTGATAGACGTTAGTTCCGTGCCAGAATATTTGAGAAAAATCGAATACCCGCATGCAGTCAGGTTGGCCATAGAAAGCACAGACGTGTGCCACTGATGGACCGAGCCCGTCTTTTAAACGTGCATTTACGTTTGCGCCTTTCCGAATAAGCGCCTTTAGGATCTCCGGTGTTCCAGAGGCAACGGCACAAACTAGAGGGGTATCCCCATCCTTGTCGAGAATCTCAACATCTGCCTCTTCGTAGCTACATATGAGCTCAATGATAGAAGAATACCCCCTCAGGGCCGCAATATGCAGCACGGTTTGTCCATCGCTGTTATGGCTCTCCAGGAGAGCTCGGATTGAACGCCCTGTAGCGGCCTTCGCAAGGAGCTCCCTGAAACATAATGCAGAAAAGTTGATATTCAAATTACTTGACCAATGTGTCTACCTCACTCGATCTTCATTCCCTTCTGACACAAGTTGATGAAGGTAAGTGTGATTAACCTCGGAAAAGTCTAGAGTCGACGAAGGTGAAGGCTCCGTTCCTCCGGAACTTTTGGCCGGATCACTGAAAGACCCCCTCAATTTTTTTTAGCCTTCCAACAAAACGTATACAAGCTTACTTGTCTGGACTTGCAGGAGGACTTGATGGCATTTCTCGAAGGTGGCGAAGAAACATAGCAAGCATGGCGTGGAAATTCGGCCGCTTTGAACCTTTGAACTGCAAGCAGTCTCCAATCATCTTCCAAAGTTCCCGTGGTATCCCACTACCAACAACGTTGTACTGAGGAGGCAAGCGTTTGCTCTTTACAACAGCTTTATAAATGTCATCCTGACTTGAACCAGCCCATCTGGATTGAAAAACATAAGAGAGGGTTTCAACTACGAATCGAAAAAGCGACAAAGCAGAACTCACGGTTTGGCTCCTGTACACATCTCCACTAGAGAGCACCCAAAGCTCCAGGCATCCGACTCCGCCGATACCCCATTCCCATCGTCCCAAAACAGGTTGATTGTTGTCTTTCGTAGCGGCTCCCAAGCTTCCGGAGCCAAGTAGCAAGGATTCAGCATGGCACACTCCATGCAGAAATGACCACTCGGCGTTTCCTCGTCATTTCCACTGCCACGACCTTTCTTGCAGTTCGGCCGCTTCAAAACGTCGGGGATTCCATAGTCGGACACAACAGCTCTCCCCTTCGCGTCCAACAGAAAGTTCGACGGCTTCAAGTTGAGACACACAATTCCCGCAGCTTGGAGCTCGGCAACACCACGGGAAATATCAGCACCATACCTGTGAAGTACAAAAAGAAAAAGGAGACCTTTAACGCGTGAGCAAAGACTACAAGCAACAATCATACCTTAGAATTTGTTCCAGCGTGAGCCGACCTTCGTTCTGCTGCATCATACTTTGCACCGAGTTCTGGTACCTGTCCATGACGATGCAAAGCTTGCCATCCTTCTTGCACGCACCATACACGGCACACACATTATGGCACCACATCGCCGCGCGACGCAAGTTCTCGATCTTCGCCTGGACCCATTCCAGCTCCATGCCGGCGGCCGCATCGATCCTCTTCACGGCAACTTTGTGACGGCATCCTCCGGGGCCCGAGAGTGTTCCAGACCAAACATCCTGACCAGCTCGAGGACCAGTTCCAAGCGGCTTAACCAGCCGCATGATGTGAGATCCCAAGTCCACTGGGATCCCACTACAGCTCGCTGACGACCATCTCGGGCTAGCTGCGAGGCGAGAGCTTCCATAAATCCCACCGCCACCACCGAGCCACTCGTCCACGTCGTCCTGTTCATCCTCCTCTTCGTCCGAGTCCTCGTCCGCCCGGCACTCGGATGGAGCTCGCCGGATGAGAGATAGCATGCCAAAGTTCTTGTGTAAGGTCTCGACGCTGTTACCCACCTTGGTCGGCTGGCGGCAGCGCGGGCACAGTAGGGTGTGATCCGTGCACCGCGCAAACATCTGTGCCAGGCATTCCTTGCAGAAACAGTGGCCGCATTGGAGCATCAGCGGCACCCTCTCCTCCTCATTGTACGTGAATTGGCACACCGAGCACACCGGGAGCTTCATTCTCGAGATTTCCCCTCGCCGCGGCACCAGAAACCCTCTCTTTCCTCCCAGAATTCACACAAATGCGGCTAGATACCTCGATTCACAGCTCTGTTCGTCGCCCGGCCTTGCCCTCCCGCAAAACCTTCGCTCCCGAAATGCCGAATTCCTGGCAAATCCAAGCTCCTGCTTCCTCAGCTAGCGTCCAATCCCCGCAAGCGAGCAGGAATGCTGCTGCCGCCCGCAAGCGCTCCGCCCTATCGTCGCCCTCCATCGCTGCTACGTCAAAACCCTAATCTAAAGTCCAGCTATGGCGGGCGGTCCATTACACATGGTCATAAACCCGCCAATGTACGAAAGGGGAAAGGGGTTTTCGTAGATATCCCCCGCATATACTTTCGTCGTCTTGATTTTAGGGTTCCTGCCCAGAGGGATGAACTGCGAGATGTTCCACCTGAGAGAACTGGTATGTCGCTCTCGATTTCACGGCTTCGTTCGCTCAAATGTTCTTCCAGGACGTGGAGCCGTATCAAATCCGCGAGGTTTTGAGATGTAAGTTCTTCTTTGCCGCCGATTGCGCTCTAAAACTCGTGGATTTCCCAGGCATACTCCACACGGTCATGTTTAACAGGGCATTGGGCCTCGTCCGGCCGCGCGACGTCGATTCCGAGCTCTTCGATCTAACTTATGTAAGTCTCGAAATTTTTCTTCGCTTAGTTCTTTCATGGTCTCTCGCCCTTTAGGTGCAATGTGGCGACTTAACATTTGAGAAGAAGATGGAGGAAAAAATCGACCAGCTCATTGCTTGGGTGGAAAAACATCCAAACAAGAAAATCACAGTGTGTATCAAACTTTGCTTCTTTGATCGACCTTCGTTGTCACTCTTGGATGACGTTTTGATGCACAGGTTTGCCTTTCCTTCTACGAAACTAGAAGCAAGCAGAATGCGTGGTTTGGACACAAAATGGAACGCTTGTATTGGGAGCAATGGTATGTCACGCTCAACACCACCGTCCAGCAGTCACACTTAAGGAGCAAGCCTCACCACGACAAGCTTGGCGACGCTCTTGGTGCGTTTCTTTGTTTTTTTCTATCAGTCTATGCGACTTTGCGTGTTTCTCTTGAGCTTTTCCTCGCACTCACAGATTTGATGACCGATGAAAGATCGAAGCGTCATGCGCTACTCGAGTCCGGATTGAAAGAAGTGATGCTCCAGATCTTACAGCAAGTAAACGAGAAGAAGGATCACGTACCACCCGTCACTAGCCAGGATGTAGTCTCGTTCCCGTATGAGATATCAATACCAAGGTTTGCTCATTCGTTATCTTGGTTTGCTCTAACATGTTTCTTTTCACTTCTTCGTTTTTCCCCAGCTCGTCGGACTCCTCGTTTGGAATGGATATGTTCAAACGGATGCTGCAAACTGGGCCTCCCACAATGCTTGGCTGATGCTTTGCCCGCAACTTTCAGCAAAAATGGATCAAATCTCCATGCCGGTGGGTGATGACGCAGGTTGTCAGTTTTTGCCTCTTACAATCCTTTTTTTTTTTCTGTGTTCCTGCAGCTTGTAAGTATTTGATATCGCCGCTCACTTGTAAAAAAAGAAAGGAAGCCACACGCAAGACCACACACAACACAGCCATACTTCGCTTTCGCGGTTAAATGCCACTCCAGGTACCACAGAGATTCGCTTGTTGGTTCTCACAGATTTTTTTACTTGTACATGTGTTTCGCCATCGCAAAAGCAAAGAAAAAAAAGCTAGAAAGCTGTAAAAATCTCTGACTGGAAAATATCGCAGTTGCCGGGAATCGATCCGGCGACGTCGGGGCATTTTATAAGGCGTAGATTTTGGGGAGCCCACTATATCCATGAGTACATTGTTCCAGGCAAGAGTTGTAACGAGGATCACAACAAATGTTGATATTGTCACAGGGATCACAACAAATTCCAACTTAAGTGTTAGTCGCCACTACGTTGTTGTTAATTGGAAGTGTCTTAAGAAAGATCCACGCCACTACGTTTTGTTGTTAATTGAAAGTGTCTTAAGAAAGATCCACGGTCTTATCAATCTCATGACGAGAGCTACGTGATTTGGGCGGGGATTTCCCAGATCGCCCAAAGAATATAATCTGATAATTTTTCTATTTGTATTTTTATACGATAAAGATTACACGAAATTTAAAAAAAGGCGAAAAAGGTGAGAAAAGAAAAAATTGTTTCTACCATGGGGGGATTTTATTCGGGATCTCCCAATCGCATATAGATATGGGGGTGAAAACGAACGCTTGTTGCTTCTAAGGGCAAACACCAATTGACAGGCAAGGGAGACCGCAAGGAAAATCTCCAAATCTTGCAAAGGAGAGGCCGTACAAGGGCAAAAAAAGAGAGGGGCCTTATGCCGTGGAATGTTCCCTCCCATCTGGACCGTCCGCGGGCCCGACGGCATCGGACTGGCCCACCTGGCAGGGTAAAAACTGGTGGGTCGCGATCCGGGCCGTCCGCGCGGCGCGGACCGACGGCCGCGATGGGCGCGAGATATTATCGGCAGACCTGTGCTTTGGAAATCGGATTTGATACATTTTGGGCGATCTTGTGTGCGCAATCACACGGACGGAGGAACCGAGGTCCTATCTGTCCCGATTTAAACTGGTTGGGGGGGTCGTCTCGTCGCGTTAAAAAATTTATTCTCCTCCTTTAAAATCGGGCGTGTGTTCTTGGTGCTAGGGATTCCATTTCTCCATTCCATTTCTCCCCCCCCTTCTTTCTTTCTCCGGGAAGAATTAGCGACGGCGGTGCTTGTGGAATCGGTGCCAGGTATGGATCGGATCGAGGTTACATTCGTTGCAAGGTGATCTTCGTCGCCGATCCTGGTGATCCGATAATATTCCTGGAAATATCGCTAGATCGCCGTGATCCCGTCTCCACACAGGCCATTGGCTGCCAGATTCTCAGCGATCTTCCTTCCCGCTGCCGGCTTTTGGAATTTCTTGCTCGCGCGGCGGCGGCGCACTGATCTCTGGATTGGGATGCCCAGGCGGCAATGCAGGCTCGTGGGGGCCTTCACTTTGACAAATCCTTGGTGGACCCGAGGCTGATCTCGCGATAGCGGATTTGTTGCGAGACAGAGACGGGCAGTTCAATGGTGGCTTTAAAGCAGGTCCAACACTTCTCGATCAGTTAAAAGCGATCCCGATGGATTCTTCCGCCATCGATCGGAGCTCCACGGAGAATTGTGCCGCGGAGCTAGAAAATGTAAGAGCGGAGAATGCCAAGCTGAGGTCGCAAAACGAGGCACTGATTCGCGAGGTGGAACAGCTCAAGCTCACAGGATCCTCGAGAATTGCTTCTCCGGAGGTGGAGTCGAGCGTAGAGATTGCCGGGCTTCTCTCGGCTCTCAAGGATTCGTGCATTTCCATCAGCTATTGCGACAGTGATCTTCGATATGTCTGGGCGACCCACTTTTTAGAATCTTTCGCCGGGAAGGTAAGCGCGTGTTTTCGAGATTTTTTTTTTTTTTTCTTTTACCTCTCATGCCTAGTGTTGTACCTGCAGATCGTGCATGGAAAACATGATGACGAGATCTTTCCCGTCCAGACTAAAGGGCTAGAAGAAGTCACTTTTCTTCGGAAACAAGCGTTGGAAAGTGGCAGCCTACAGATGGATTACGTGCAAGTATTCATACCCGATCGGGGACACATGACTTGGCTTGTCATAGCTAATCCAAGCTTTGGTCACGAAGGAGGAAAGCAGGAAGTCCCAGTTGGCGTGATCACAACATGCTTAAACATTCCACTGGTATTTGTCTCAGTGGACATTAATTCATGCTTGACATGTTTATTTCAGGCTGGTGATTCACAAGCGCTGGTCCGAAGCAGGACCACAGAATACGAGCTGAGAGAAGCAGTAAGGCTGACAGGTACTTATAGCGTCCTCTTTCCGGAAAATCTTTCTCATGCCGCTCTTCTGTTTCTGTTGCAGAGGAAGCAATTCGAGCAAAAAACATGTTTCTTTCCATCATGTCCCACGAGATTCGAACTCCGTTGAACGGACTGCTTGGACTTGCTCAGGCTTTGGAGTCCTCGGGATTGGACAGGGACCAAAGAGAACTCTTGCAAGCAATTGTGTCGTCCGGTACAATCATCGCAGACATACTGGGCGACATTTTAGATCTAGCCAGCATGGAATCAGGTGAGCTTTACATCACATTTTATGCTGCGTATACCAACTGGGGTTCAAGGTGCCATGAAGTTGGAGACGCAGCCTTTCAGCCCGGCCGATATTGTCCATGAGATAGCGAAAATGGCTGTTGCAGCTACACATGAAAAAGGATTGGAGGTCTTGAGCTATGTTGGAAAGAGCGTACCAGAGGTGGTAAGCAAAACATTTCTGTTTTATTTCCTGGGGCTTGCTAATGAAACTTGTCAGGTGATAGGTGATGGGCTGCGAGTTCGTCAAGTAATGAAATATCTCGTGCTGAACGCGATTAAGTTTACTCAAGAGGGCAGTGTTCAGATTAGATTAGATTCAATACCCATGCTGGGAACACCGGACGATCCACGGTTTCCTAGTGAAGAGCTTGTTACTGGACGTGAGAAGCGTCAAAAGGATCAGCCTGTGAAAAGTGGGTGTCGCGAAGGCGACTTTGTACTTTATTGTCAGATAGCTGACACTGGACTTGGAATCCCGAAAGAGGTAAGCGTCTATATGCTCGAACGTACTTTCACCATTAACGGTGGCTTATTTCCAGGCATTTGCAACGCTGTTTGATCACTTCCGCGGATTAAAGTTCTCGAGCACTATCAATCATGGTGGGACTGGCCTGGGCTTGGCTCTCTGCAAACAGGTACGTACAACTAGGCAGGACAAAGATTTAACAATCTTAACTTTACAGTTGGTGGAACTCATGGGTGGTCGACTGACAGTGCACAGCGAAGTCGGCAAGGGGTCAGTGTTCACATTCAGCGTCCTGTGCAAGTCGCACGATCGAGATTGCAGCCCAGAGCCGACCGCAAAGCCTGTGGACAACAGGCCGCCGTGCAACCACCGCAGGAAAGAGCCGAAGATCCTCCTGGCCGAGGACAACAAAGTGAACGTCATGGTGGCGATCTCCATGCTCAAGAGGCTGGGATTCACGGCACAGGTGGTGGCAAACGGAGTCGAGGCTCTCGAGGCGATGCGGAAGGACAAATACGATCTGGTGCTGCTCGACATATGCATGCCGCTCATGGACGGCTTGCAAGTGGCCTACGCGATCCGGAAGTTCGAGCAGACTGGTTCTTGGCCGGAAGGGATCTGGGACGGGAACGATAGCAAGGAGCTCTCGACCGCTCTGGAGGGATTCCGGAATGGAGGGAGGGAGGAAGATAGCACGGGGACGTCGCCGAGGATACCGATCATCGCCGTGACCGCCAACGCGCTGAGGTCCGATATCGAGCGGTGCTTCGCGCACGGGATGGATGCTTTCATCCCAAAGCCCGTGATGTTCCAGAAGTTGAGAGAGATCTTATCCAAGTATCTTCCTCTTCCTCTGGAGCAGCAGTAGGGGTGTTGCAGAGCTGAAAAAGTGGCGCTTCAGGGATTTTTTAAAAATTATTTTCTTTTTTTTTTTTGTGTGTCGTCTGCGGGAATCGAGCCCAGGACGGGTAAATGGCCATATCTAACTTAAGGCGTTTGAGGGTTGCATCTAGTGATGTTCCAAAGCTCTCCTCAAGGCCCTCTTTGATTGCATCGCTTCGGTCCTCCAGGTAAGGGATCCTCGATATACAGGATGAATTAAAACTCGTACCTTTTCAAGAACGGGGTATAGCTACCTGTGGGTTCTGGACATTTCCTTTTTGGGGATGAAGGCTTACAGCAGCAGCAGCAACGGGCACTACAGGAAGGCTTACGACGGCAGCAGTAGCAACGGGCAGCAGCACAAGAAGGCCTACGGCGGCAGCAGCAACGGGCAGCACAATGCGTTCACAAAGGAAGAGCCGAAGGTGGTGGACATTTTTGCAATCGAGGACGCTGCCGAACACATGCGAGCAAGGTAAGCAAGACTGAGTTTGATGTTTATTTGCTTTTGTTTGTAACAGGTACGAGATCATAGGAACTCATCGTCCTGGTGAGAAGGAGGGATTACTCGTCGACCAATGCAGAAGATGTAAGCAGAGAGGCCATTGGGAAAGACACTGCAAGGGGGTAAGAAAGCTCACTTATTCTGAATTTTCCAGATTTGACTTTTTGTTTCTTTTTCTAGCCTGGAGTGGATCCTTTTGCTCACGAACAGAAGAGATGCTACCTCTGCCTAGCGAAGGGACACGACACGTATCAGTGTTCAAGAGATCCCCTGAGAAATGAGGACTGGGCAGAGAGGACTTACACTGGACCAATGAAGAGATATTGTCTTCAGGTTTGTATCTTTCTATTCTCTGTTTCTTTATATGTTTATTTGTGTATGTTTTCAGGTGAGTTATATCGTTCAGGTAGCAGACTTCCCGCAATACCATCCTCGTTTCTGCGTCCAACGGATTGAATACGAAAACCTCAAATGGATCTGCAAAAAACATCCAGACTTGGGAATCATGGTTGTGCCTGAGCCACCCCGTCCTCTTGCGGCCCTTATCTGGGAATATTTTCAGCGACTGGATGAAGTTTTATACGAGGCAGAGCTAGGCTTCGAGTTATACAGATCCATTGAAGAAATGCCTCCAGGGTATGACCGGTATGCAGCTGCAGAAGAAGCATATATTGAAGAATTGAAAAATGAAGAGAAGCATTGAAAGGTGATGTGTTTTCATAAAGTAATAGAATAAATATTAGGCTGCAAATTTATGTGAAGGGGAATAATAATACTTCATGAATTCTCTTAAAATATTATCAACTTATACAAATCTACTTTTAAGACCTAAAAGTCGAATATAATCTTTAAAAGAGATATAGCTCCAACTAGAAATCCAAGATATAAAGTTCAATATTCTATTTATTTTTATCATTAATAAATAAAGATAAATTAATACATCTTTAAATAAAGAGGTGGAAAATCAATATATAAAAAGGAATAAAATTAAAACGTAGAATATGCTTAGGTTAAGGTAAATAAGAATACTTCACTTTTGTAACCTTTCAGCGGCTGCAACAATCTAGGAAAGGGCTAGCACAAACAGGGTGAGAGCACACAAAATCTCTACAGCCAGCCAGATTGCAAGGCATGTCACTGGACTCTACAGTCTACACACCCATAGGCTGGAAGAGTCTCGAGATCAGCTGCTTGAAACAAGCTCATGCTTTTCTGACTTGTAAAATGTTTGAGCTAGGGTTTTGCTTGTAAAAAACACTATTTGAGAAACCATCATGTGCACATGGTAGTATGATATCAGCAGTTCCCATTTCACCACATCCTTGCTTGGGCTTGTCCCAGACACAAACAACTTACTGCAATATGATTAGTATGAAACTATAAGAAAAGAAGATTCACATGAAAAGAATGACAATGGACATGGTCCATATCACAAAGCTGGATGTTCTACTTTGAAATTGTATAGAGCAAGTAGGACTCAAGTGAGCATCCAGTTGCACTCCCAAGATTTGGTGATGGTTATTATTTAACTCTCTAGTTCTTCACCCAAATCACCATGAATATCATAATTTGACTGTGAGCTCAAACATGTGAAATTCAAAATGTGTAGCATCTGGAGCAACACATTAGAGACAGACAACTTTGAAACTCCTTGAGACCTCTGTTAAGGGGATATGATGGATGAGAGTAAAAGCAGGACCTTCTATTTTATTTTATTAATATAAAATATATTTTCCTTCTTTTATAAAAGAAAGGAAACCAAGAAGTAAATTCTTTCTATTTTTAATGTCAGATTCTTATGTATACAATATGGCTACCAGCACGCCTGTCAATTTGGAGATCTTGGCACGACAACTATTGTTCTTCCGATAATTACCCATGCGAAATTTCTCCTCCTCCTTTCATCTTCTCTTCTCCGCGCATCTCTTGATTCATGAGCCTCTCCGCCACGACATTGATGATTTCGGGAGCGGCAGCACCGAATTCCGTGTGATTCCGTGGATCGAACAGCTCCAAGTGTGTACAAGATCTGGGAGATTCTCGCGGCTTGCTGCCCCCACTGGTTTTCCATTTGCGTTTTAATTGAAGGATACTTTTTGCATTAATTAAAAATAACTATTGTTTATCGCATTAATTTTAATGCCTGATAGAAAGGAGAGTGAAGAACTCCTCCTGCGTTTTAGGGTCGCATCGCATTGGCGCTGCTGGAGCTGGAAGCGGCGGGCGATGGATCGTCCCCACAAGAGGCAAGACTGCATTTTGTGAGAAATTTCTCTGAATCTTGGCGTTCGCGGCAGTAGTCGAAATCTTTGCTCGCCGCTTCCCTGGTAGAAATCTAATGCTTTCGTGTGTGTGCCTAGGCAGCGCATGGATCCATGGGCCTACGCTTTCACCGAGCTGGAGAGATCGCAGCGCGGCGCTGGTACTCACGGACCGCCGCCGCTGGATGAGGCGTTGGTGCCTCATTCCAGCCGCGGTCCAAAGCTTTGCTACCTCGACAAGGCCGCGTACATTGGTCGCTTGAGGAGCTGCGACGCAGTAGAGGGTTCCTAACGACGATGAGGGAGCAGCACGAAAGCATTCAGAGGAGGAACAACAAAGTTAAGAACTTTTCACTACACCAGTGGGAAAAAAGTCCGGCAGGAGCTGCAAGAATCGATCGTTCACTGGAAGCTGCTACAGGGGCTCGTCTCATCCTCGTTAGATACTCTGGAAGCTCACGTAAATGGATCTGTTGGGGATGAACAACAGCCGCCTGGATCATTGTTTCTAGGCCAAGGATGGAGCTGGGGGCAAATGGTTTCCATCTGACAGCGTGACTTCGTGCTGGCTTGCCTCTGTACAGCCAAAAGGATCTCATCCTTCAAGCTAATCAGGTACCAACCACAAGCTCTTTTGTTATCTTAGTTTCATCGCATTAAACTATGAACACTGCTACAGGTCACTGTGCTGATTGGTAGACTCATGCAGTATTTATGTGATGGTGGTTTATCGAGCAACGGGAAGTTCCATCGTTTGTACACAGCCAAGGAAAGTAGCAGCATTTGCTCTTGTGTTGCCGAAGGATGCCGCTGAGAAGACGAATTCCATTGGCCTCTTGGGATACAGGGCTCGACAAGACCTTGCCAAAATGGTCTACACCAAGGCGGATATCGAATGGCAAGTGATTGGCAAATACGCCGCGTGCACTTGTGCTGCCTCTTCATGGAAGGCTTTGTCAAGAGGATCAGCAACTGGTATTCGAGGCGGCACCACCTGGTACGGGAAAGATGGTCTTTGCGACAAATATCGCCGAGACGTCTTTGACGATGCCAGGAATCAGGTACTTCAAAGTTCTTTTACAATAATCTTCCTTGAAGCATGTAGCTGATACTCGTTTTCTCGGCTTCTAGGTACGTGGTGGATTGTCAAAGCAAGCCATCTTTGATCCACAGACTGGGATGACAACGCTTGAGCTTACGCCAATCAGTCAAAGCCGCGACTCAAAGAGCTGGTCGTGCAGGGCGCACTCGTTCTGGTGTCTGCTACAGATTGTACAGCGATGAAGACTTTGACGACAATGCTCTGCTGGGGACTTCGGAAATTTCCCGTTCTCACATGGGGATTATCAAGCACCTGGCACTAGGCGGACGATGAAGTGAAGAACTGGAGGCTCACGAACTTCAGATTAAAACTGGCCAAGATAGGAGTGGAGCCACGGTTAGGCAAGATCATCCTCGACAGCCAGGCTCACTGTTGTGGTCGAGAAGTCAGTACCCTGTGATGATCATCTTCTTCCGAGCCGACTCTGAAAAAGCAAGCTCCTGGCAGACCGCTGGAAGATGCGCTGCTGTCAGCATGGAGACCTGTTCAGCCTCTTGGACGTGTACCGGGAAGGGAGCAGCAAGCACGGCTGATATCGACAAAGAAATGAAGAAGCGCGGATAACACAGTCGACGTTGAAGGTATGCTACTACTCTTCATTCATTTTCCAGTCGGAAACCACTTTGTGAAGGTATCTCCCAAGGCGTATGGTACGAAGCGAATCGAGATCTCATCCTGGAGCTTGCAGAGGCAGCTCTAGATAAACTGGTGGAAGGCGCTCCTTTTGAAGACGGCCTGCTGGATGAAGCTGCAATGAATGCAACCAGAGGGAGCGACAGATCTCACTGACTTCCACTTGGGATGATGAGAGTTCTGGTTGGAAAATCCGGGGTCAGACTTAGCCGGGCTGGAAAAATCAGTGGGAGCTCCAGTGGCATTCCTTGTACGTACATGGGGACTAGGAATGCGTGGAGAAAGCAAAGCAGGAAACAGCGTCCTGGAAGAACGAAGCAATCCAGCAGTGGCAGTGGCAGTCGACGCAGCCTGATCGTCAACGAGTACAAGCTCACTTGCGCCAACGAAGGCTGCCAGCAGGGTGTTCCTCGTTGTCGACTTTGCAGCCTTGCTCAGCAAATGGACGAGCTGTGCAAGGCTAGTTTGCATGGCCACGAACAGGTCCGGACTGCAAAAGCTCATCAGCGATCTTTCTCTATAGAGATAAAGCAAAAAGATAAGTAGTTCGCTATCTATAGCAATAGGTTTAAGTGACGCTTGGCCCTTTTCAGCAACAACACGATGGAGGAGGCTGTTCTGAAATTGTTGTGGTTTTATGCTTTCCACTTTAATCTTTCCATTTAAAATGAATTTCATATGGAAGTAAAATCCTTGCAGGTAAGAATTTATAACATAGCATTTTAATGTTAATCTTTTCATTTGGTAGTCATTTTCCCTGAGAAGGAATTCTTTTCAATGGGTTTGACACTTCTATTGAGTTGCCACCACCCACAAAAGCACTATATTTTATGGTATTTATTTCTTGGGGTTATTTATGATATGAGTATGAGCTGCATATCATGTGGTAAGAGATGTGTAAGTTTTCCAACACTGAGATAGAGTTTGCAAGCAAACAGTTATATTGAGGTTCAAAGCTCTCATTGAGAGTTACATGCCTCAATTGCATATACTAGGTGCTGCTTACCAACATTTGGTGTTGAACATTTCAAACATCTTTTGCTACATAATATGCATTTTTAATCATTTACATTTTTCTATTATATGTAATATTGAGGAGCTCATACTTGAGTCATGGACAACCCCAACAAGTAGGCACCACAAAACATGATGCCTTTGTGAATAATGGCACCTCCGAAGAAATATTAAACCTATAATATTGTAATTTCCTTTTTAGGGAAAATGCTTATCAAATGAAAAAATTAAGCATTAGAATATTATGTTATGAATTCTTGCCTGTGAGTGTTTTGCTTCTTTATAAAAATTATTTTCATCATGAGAAGATCAAAGTGAAAAATATAAAACCATAGCAAATCTAAAATAGCCTCCTCCATCGAATTGTCACTAAAGAGTGTTGTCACTTAAGAGGGCTCATCTCCCACAAGAATTCACACTAATCATCCATCTTGTACTGCAAAGGATAACATGAAGATTGGAACCCCGCTTGTGTATATATTAAACTTCAGTGCTTTGTATGTTTAAATATTCTACCATTAATGCAAAACCTGTTACAGTATAGTTATTCTTATTCTCTTAATCTTAGTACTTATTTCCTAACTTAATGCTATATATAGCAAACTACTTATCTTTTGATTTGCTTTAGCTCTAGTAAGCTCATGGCCACAAAAACTCCCTCGGAAGATTTGCACAGCTCGTCCATTTGCTGAGCAGGGCTGCAAAGTCGACGACAAGGAACACCTCCTGGCAGCCTTCGATGGCGTGAGTGTTGACAATCTGGCATAAACACACCGGAGAATCCTTTGCTCCTTCAACTGCCACTACTGGATTACTTTGTTCTTTTGCTTCCTTCCTGCTTTGCTTTCTCCACACATTCGCTTCTACCATACACCTTGGGAGACACCTTCACAAAGTGGTTTCCGAGTGAAAAATGAATGAAGAGTAGCAGCATACCTTCAAAGTCAACTGTGTTATCCGTGCTTCTTCATTTCTTTGTCGCTATCAGCCGTGAGTAAAGTATAGACGGGAATGATGACGAGCACCGAGCCCCAAAACTCAGTTTTGTACATCGGGAGTCGTGCCTTCAAGGCTAGCAAGACCACGCGCTGCAGCGTCGTGATCATTCCCGATCCAAGCTTTGGCCGACAAGCCTCCGAACGCATCAATCACCTCAACCTCAAACTTGTCTGTTCCAGCACCAAGACCCGCTGGTACCCACTTGCAGAGCGTTCACCCGCGGCTTTCCCATGAAGCACGATAACCTTCATCATCTTCTTCCCACTCAAAGCCTGTGCAGTGCCATTGTGTCGCTTATCAACGCTCGAACCGAGCCCGACTGGCTTCCCGAGAACATGAAACTCCCACAGTTTTTACTGGCTTCTGGCTGCCATGGTTTCTTTTTTCTTTTCTTTCTCTTGTTGTGTACAGCCGAAGAGGGAAGGCCCTACGGCACTCAAGGTGTTGTTGAATTTCTTAGTTCTTGCTTCAGTTTCTCGGGATCCAGATCAAGGTCGGTGAAGCCGGAGATGAACACACCGGACTGTGAGCGCTGGCTGACTTTACACGTAACGTATGAGCCACAGACGACTTTTCCTGTACATGAAAGTATCACGGCATCGATGTCTCCAGGATCGCACTCGGCAACTAGCTCGTAGACGACACCATGAGATACAGCAGCAAACGCAGCTCACTGGTTAGGTTTCCGTCACGGGAGTGATAAGCAGACTGTTGGCAGCCTTGAAAGTGTCACATTGTGCGTCTTGGACCCCGAGTTTCAGCGCAAGTTGGGCAGAAGCTCACGATCTAAACGCCACCTTGTCTGAGGTGACGCTCCAAAAAACTTGTGGATGCCTTCACTGCACTCGTCGAAGAGAATGAGCAGCTCGTTGTCAACCAGCTTCGAGGTGTCTGCATAGCGGGCCTCCACGCTCGTGAACGATCCAGGCGCCACTATCTCTTTCACCATTCCGGCAGACCCGATCAGAGTCACGGGCGTTCGAAATCCCAGCTGAAGCCAGCGCTTCTGTCTCGCCACAGTTGTCATGACAGTTTCCACCACCAGACGCTGCATGCATAAGCTCGTTCATGCGACTCTCGATCCTGGACCTTGTGTGGCTGCTCAAGCTAGTCCGCTCTGGTTTTTGCCGCAAACTCTAGCCGCAAACTCTAGCCAAGATGGTCGTCCCAGGTGACAACAGTGAGCCTGGCAGTCGAGAATGATCTTGCCTAGCCGTGGTTCCACTCCTATCGTGGCCAGTTTTAATCCGAAGTTCGTGAGCCTCCAGTTCTTCACTTCGTCATCCTTAGCTATGGCTTCCAGCCGCTGCAAACTTGTCATTGCGTGACTGATAGCACTGGCACTGGGAGGCTCCACAAAGTCAAAGTTTTCCACGTCCTGTACGCCTAGTGCCAGAAGCTTGAGAACTACTATCCCCATGTGAGAGCGGGAAATTTCAGAAGTCCCCAGCAAAGCCATGTCGTCAAAGTCTTCATCGCTGTACAATTTGTAGCAGACACCAAAACTAGTGACCAGCTCTTTGAGTCGTGGAGCTTTGACTGATTGCCGTAAGCTCCAGCGTTGTCATCCCAGTCTGTGGATCAAAGATGGCTTGCTTTGACAATCCTGGATCCACCACGTACCTAGAAGCCGAGAAAGCGAGTATCAGCTACATGCTTCAAGGAAGATTATCGTAAAAAGAACTTTGAAGTACCTGATTCCTGGCATCGTCAAAGACGTCTCGGAGATATTTGTTGCAAAGACTATCTTTCCCGTTATCTTTCCCGTACCAGGTGGTGCCGCCTCGAATACCAATTGCTGATCCCCTTGACGAAGCCTTCCATGAAGAGGCAGCACAAGCAATCATTTGTAGACCCATTCGATATCCGTCTTGGGACATGAGGAAAGCTAATATATCTTCCTCAATCGGCCTTCTTGTGAAGCTTGCAAACACTTCCCATTGTCCTTGTTACGTGGTTGAATTCTCGCGCAATTCGTAGTGGATCTCAACCGGGAACTTCCTTCCAGGAACGACAAGTGGTGCTTGTTCGATGCCGCTGAAAAGCTCGGCATCGGCTATAGCTGACATGACGATGACTCTCAAGTGCGCGTCAACATTCCTTCAGTACTGCTAGGAGTAAATCCCTGCTCGTCCACAACAATGCAGCTGAATTGGTCGAGATTTCGAGCCAAAAGATAGTATGTGATCCGTGGTGTAGACCATTTTGGCAAGGTCTTGTTGAGCCTTGTATCCCAAGAGGCCAATGGAATTCGTCTTCTCGTAACAGCAGCGGCATCCTTCGGCAACCCGTCGTGCAAGAGCAAATGCTGCTACTTTCCTTGGCTGTGTACAAACGATGGATCTTCCCGTTGCTCGATAAACCACCATCACATAAATACTGCATAAGTCCAGTGCTCTTCCCAGAGCCAGTCTCACCAATCAGCACAGTGACCTGTAGCAGTGTTCATAGTTTAATGCGATGAAACTAAGATAACAAAAAAGCTTGTGGCTGGTACCTGATTAGCTCGTATAGTTTGAAGGATGAAGGATGAAAACGTCGAGGCGAGTCCCTGTAACAGCTTCCACTGAACGATCGATTCTTGCAGCTCCTACTGGACTTTTTCCCACTGGTGTAGTGAAAAGTTCTAACTTTGTTGTTCCTCCTCTGAATGCTTTCGTGCATCGCCGTTAGGATACCCTCTACTGCGTCGCAGCTCCTCAGACGACCAATGTCCGCGGCCTTGTCGAGGTAGCAAAGCTTTGGACAGCGGCTGGAATGATGGCGCAACACCAGCTTCATTTCAGGCACCAACGCCTCATCCGGCGGCAGCGGTCCGTGAGTACCAGCGCCGCGCTGCGACCTCTCCAGCTCGATGAAAGCGTAGGCCCATGGATCGCTGCGCTGCCTAGGCACAGACACAAAAGCACCAGATTTCTACCAGGGAAGCGGCGAGCAAAGATTTCGGCGATTCTACTGCCAACAACGCCAAGATTCAGGCCAGAAATTTCTCGCAAAATGCAGTCTTGCCTCTTGTGGGGACGATCCAGCGCCCGCCGCGCAGCGCCAACGATCCAGCGCCCGCCGCTTCCAGCTCCGCAGCGCCAATGCGAACCCTAAAACGCTTGAGCGGGAAGGAGGAGTTCTTCACTCTCCCAGAAAGAACCTTCTTTTTATCTCTCTAGGCGTTAAACTAGTTTTAAACATAAACATTAGCTAGTTTTAATTAATGCGAAAATAATCCCATCAATGAAAACGAAAAATAACTTATAAAGGTCTTCTCATCTATAATACTTATTCTATTACTTTATTAAAACACATCACCTTTCAATGCTTCGCTTCATTTTTCAATTCTTCAATATATGCTTCTTCTGCAGCTGCATACCGGTCATACCCTGGAGGCACTTCTTCATCGGATCTGTAAAACTCGAAGCCTAGGCCTGCTTCGTATAAAACTTCATCCAGTCGCTGAAAATATTCCCAGATTTGAGATGCAAGAGGGCAGGGTGGCCGAGGCACAATGAAGATTCCCAAGTCTGGATGTTTTTTGCAGATCCGTTTGAGGTTTTCGTATTCAATCCGTTGGACGCAGAAACGAGGATGGTATTGCGGGAAGTCTGCTCCCTGGACGATATAACCCACCTGAAAACGTACACAAATAAACATACAAAGAAACAGAGAATAGAAACTGATACAAACCTGTTGATCAAGTCTCTTCATTGGTCCAGTGTAAGTCCTCTCTGCCCAGTCCTCATTTCGCAGGGGATCTCTTGAACACTGATACGTGTCGTGTCCCTTCGCTAGGCAGAGGTAGCATTTCTTTTGTTCATGAGCAAAAGGATCCACTCCAGGCTAAAAGAAGAAACAAAAAGTCAAATCTGGAAAATTCGTGAGCTTTGTTACCCCCTTGCAGTGTCTTTCCCAGTGGCCTCTCTCCTTACATTTTCTGCATTGGTCGATGAGTAATCCCTCCTTCTCACCCGGACGATGAGTTCCTATGATCTGGTACCTGTTACAAACAAAAGCAAGTAAACATCAAACTCAATCTCGGTTACCTTGCTCGTATGAGTTCGGCAGGGTTCTCGATTGCAAAAATGTCCACCTCCTTGGGCTTTTCCTTTGTGAACACATTGTGTTGCCCGTTGCTGCTGCCGCCGTAGGCCTTCTTGTCCTGCCCGTTGCTACTGCTGCCGTCGTAAGCCTTGCTGTAGTGCCCGTTGCTGCTGCCGCTGTAAGCCTTCTTGTGCTGCCCGTTGCTGCTGCTACTGTAAGCCTTCATCCTCAAAAAGGAAATCTCCAGAGCCCACAGGTAGCTATACCCTGTTCTTGAAAAGATGCGAGCTTTAATTCATCCTGTTTATCGAAGATCCCTTACCTAAGCAATGCAATCAAAGAGGGCCTACGGCGGAGAGGAGAGCTTTGAACAAGATGTAGCTCCGATGCGCGATCACAGCCTGGGCGGCACAAATAATTAGGTTTCCATGAGCGACCGAGCTTCCACCCCATGGCGATCGATAGAATCGATCGGCTGGGCGATACCTGGAGGATGCAATCGATCTCGAGATTACCTTACTTTTCTGGTGAAACCCTCAAACGCTAACCTTTATACCAAGCATATTCTTAGGTTGCATTACAAAGGAACGGCCAGGATTTGTCCCAGCATAGAAGGTAGATCCAACGGCTAAAATTACCATTTATGCACCTTACTTAATTTTTACACACACATAATATATGTTTGTCTTTATGTATTTAAAAATTACACAACCCACATAAATTTTAATATGAGTTCGTGAAACAATTAAATAATCCGCAACATCCGTAATTTAGCCTGTGAATAAACTTTTATAGCAAAACACATATTAGTGGGTCATTGTTAGGTAACCTACAACAAGTACTCTTTTCAAGGTCTACTATGGATGGTTCATAAAT